ATCCCGTTGGTGATAGCACTGTCCGTGTATCGGGTCACTACGGTGGACGGAGCCACCCCAGTCTCTACGACAGACCCCGAGTCTGGGACATCGGCGTTTTACAGCCGTTTCAGCCTAATTTCGTCTGCTGGACTTTGTGATTCAGCAAGGTGCACACATTCAGGTGACACTGCTGCCAGTGCAAGTCTTGCTTCAGTCTAGCATCTCGTCAGCCCATAGTTGCAAGTCGGCCACGCACTGGGTCACTGAGTCGACTGTGGGAAAGTGTGAATCTAGCAAGGCTCACCTCCAACCCTCATTCGTACATTTTCGCACCTGTTTCTCACTCTCATTCACTCTTCCCTCCTTTGATGGCCAATATCCATACCAAAAGTTGGGCCAAAATCAGATTTCGTTGTGCTCATCCTACCCAACAGATCATGCTCTTTCCAATGAGCTTGGGATCTCAGACATAACTCACGAAAAAGTCACAGGCTGTGACACCCAGGATCCCCAGTTGTGTCACACATATCCTCAATGTGTGATGCTGGTTGGGCCAAGGATGCTGTGCTGAAGCCAGGGAGACTCTCTGAAAGGTGTCGAGGGTGTTGAGGGCATGGAGATCTTGCGGGACACCACCGCCACCAAGTGATCTTTGCAGTAGCCATCACCTGAGGAAAAGCGAGGCTATCAAGAGGACACTTTGTCAGTGACCCTCCCCCTTCCTAATGTTGAATGGGATAAGTCATGGGAAGGGCTCATATCCATGGCAGACAAGAATGGCATAGTCCAAGGAGTCCATGTTAGTTCAAGCATACGAACAAGGTCATCTACCTGCTCCCCGCCCACCCCGCCCGCCCCGGTACGACCGTACGCGCTGCAACATGCCCCCGCAAGCTGGTGCTGAGGTATCCACTGAGTCCGAGGCGGAGCGCTTTATCCGCCAGAAAGTTTGAGTCGGGAGGAATACAGGCTCCGAGTCTTGACACCCGAGCAGAGGCGCAAGGAGGCTGACGAGGAGTGCGAGCTTATGCGCCCCGCGTCGCTGTCGAGGTAGCTCTCAGCAATCGCGGAGATACTGTAATATATACTTGGAAGGCGTTCACGATGCACTCGTTACGGTCCCAGGATTGCTTTGAGGTCAGAAGCCGTTGCGTCCGTTAGTGCCTCAAGCCCAGCCCTGGTGCCGCTAAACAAACAGCTCGGATCTGAGGCGTATCATACATAAGCGTCCAGCCCAATGGGCCGACCAAACTGTCGTACTTCGTTGCCGTTGCCGTGTGGACGTGTGGAAACTTAATCGGGACCAATTACAAACTATAGGCAAGTAGGGGGTGCTCACTGAGGATATCGAGTGGGCGGGGGATGTAGGATATATTAAAGAGTGGACTGGACCCATGTCCGACCATTGAAAGTCGATCACGAGCCCAAAGGGAGGGGTGTGTTGCGGACTCACAACGCGCCAGTCGTACTACGCCTGACGGTGGAGAGGATGCTGCTTGCGCGGGAGCGGATGGAGGGCGAGCGGACGCGCGACGGCGTGACGGGGGTGTTGGGCACCGAGTCTCTGCCTCCAAACGTGTTGTGGTGGTGCTTGTGGTCGCCGACGAGGTGGCGTCCGTCGCAGCACGCGCGCACGTTGTCGAGGCCCTCGAAGCTGTCGTCCAGGTCCGTGTCCATGTCGAGGCCGGCTAAGACGCCCATCTCGTCGTAGGCTGGAGACTGGTCCACAACAGACGCACCACGGTACGTGCCCTTGTACCTGTGCCCGCCGAAACGGGGGGCAGGGGCACCGGAGTGCGTCCGCCGCCGGGAGGAGAGGGACGACGCGGGCCGCATGATCGAGCTCGCCCTAGGAGTCGAGTTGGCCTCGAGAGAGCGGATGCTGAGGCGGCTCTTGGGCGAGCGCAGGCTCTGCGCACTGCTGCGCCCGCTGCGGCCAGAGTGCCCACTGCGCTCGTCCGGGATTACGGACAGGCGCCGCGTGCCGCCGCTCATGGTCGAAGCTCCTCGGTGAGGCGTGCGAAGGGCGTTCGCGGCGGAAGACGGGGTAAGCGTGTTAGACCCCCCGCTGCCGCCCTGGTGCGCTAACAGGAACTCGGAGTGCCGTGATCCAGAGGTCGTGTCGCTCCTTGGTCGGGGCGGTGAACTGGATCTCGCGGCCGAGCGTGTTCACGACAATACTCTGGCCGTACAGTCCCGGCGGCGCCGCATTGTAATCCTCGATCGTCTTGATGCCCGAGATGAAGACGCTCTTGGCCTTGGACTCCGGAGCTCCACTAGAGCCCGGGTCCTGCGTGCTCCAGTACAGTGTCTTGGAGTAGGGGTGAACCCAGAAGAAGCGCTTGTGTCGGTTCTCGCTCATGCCGCGGCCAAGAGTGCGGCGAGTGTACTTGTACATGTACTCGCCGATCATCGTCTGCGTGATCGCGTGGATTGTGCCGGGGTCGGTCGACGGGCCAGTCAAGCCGTTGCTGACAGAGCGACGGCTGGGGTCGGCAATGGAGTCGATCGACGACATGGACTCGTGGCGGATGCGGCCAAAGTCGGACACACTCGAGTTGACAGAGGCGTACTCGCTCGCGCGCGAGAGGGAGCGCTCGCGCTCACGCTCGTTGATAACGGCCGTGGCACGGCGCTTAACCGTGGCACGCGATTTGGCCCAGGCGTCGGGGTCGCGGGAGACCACCGACTTGGTTTGCGAGCGCATGGAAGCTACAGATTGTTCCTTGTGGAGGGTCGTTGACTTGGGAGGAGGCATGCTAGGGGGTCCCATAATAATAGTGGCCGTCCCGAGACCCGCAGCAGGCGAAGGCGTCGGAGTCTGAGCAAACGAGTTCGCACGGATGGCCTGGCCCGCTGATGAGGGCGCACCACGAGCACCACGGTTGTGCACACTCGCAGAGCTGGAAGCCCTCTTCAGTAAGTCATCAGGCGCGGGGGACGCAGGTCGAATAGGGTTGGCCGAGAACTTACGCACGGGCGTGCCAACCGGCGGCGGGCTGACAGGAGGGGGCGGGACGTTGATCGTCGGCGACCGCGACTTGTCAGGCGCAGGCGACGAGTGCGCGCTTCCGCCAGCATGGTCGAGACCGGGCGAGTGCAAAGCTCCCTCGACAAAGCCGTGGCCGTTCTTGACGTCCAGGGCACGAGGCGAGGACTTGCGAGGAGGTGGAGGAGACTTTAAGAAGTCGAGGTTGGCACCAGGCGAGACACGGAAGAAGCTGAGGTCGGGCGACGGGCCGCCAGCAGGAGACTGCGAGCGGTTGGCATTGGTCGGTGTCGTCGGGCGATCGACGTCGAGCTGGCGAGAGGCAGTGTGAGGGTCGGCATGGCCGTCGTCGGTGGCACGGCTGACGACAATCTCCTTGGGGACCTCAACCACCTTCTCGATGTAAATCTCCTTGGGGACCTCGACGACCTTCTCGACAATGACCTCCTTCGGGACCTCGACAATCTTCTCGACGATTCTCTCGACGGGGACCTGGACAATCTTCTCGACGGGAACCTCAACCGTCTTCTCGAGAGTGACAATCTTCTCGACGGGGACCTCCACGATCTTTTCGATCTCAACGATCTTCTCGACCGGGACCTCAACCGTCTTCTCGATGACCTTCTCGACCTCGACGATCTTCTCAACAGGAACCTCGACGATCTTCTCGACCTCGACAGTCTTTTCGACCTCGACGATCTTCTCGACAGGGACCTCGACGAGTTTCTCGACCTCGACGATCTTCTCGACCTCGACGACCTTTTCGACGATCTTCTCGACGGGAACTTCGACCGTCTTCTCGACAATGCGGTCGACAGGAACTTCGATCGGAACCTCGACCTTGCGCTCGACGATCTTCTCGACGATCTTCTCAACCTCGACGATGCGGTCGACGGGGACCTCCTTGATGACCTCCTTCTCGATGATCTTCTCGACGTCGACATTGACGGGGACCTCGACCGTCTTTTCGACAATCTTCTCGACCTCGACAATCTTGGGGACCTCGACCTCGCGGTCAACAATCTTCTCGACGACCTTTTCGACCTCGACGATCTTGGGGACCTCGACAATCTTCTCGACCTCCTTTTCGATGATGACCTCGACAGGAACCTCTTTGATGACTTCCTTCTCGACGATCTTCTCGATCTCGACGGGGACCTCCTTGATGACCTCGACCTCTTTGATGACCTCGACCTCCTTGATGACCTCGACAGGAACCTCCTTGATGACTTCGACCTCCTTGATGACCTCTTTCTCGACGATCTTTTCGACCTCGACAGGGCGGTCAACATGGACAATCTTCTCAACAGGGACTTCGCGGTCAACGTGGACGATCTTCTCGACAGGTACCTCGCGGTCGACGTGGACAATCTTCTCCACATCGCGGTCGACATAGACAATCTTCTCAACGGGGACCTCGACGATCTTCTCAACCTCCTTCTCGACTATGCGATCCACAGGTTTCTCGACGATGACCTCCTTGATGACCTCCTTTTCGACGACCTTCTCGACGGGCACCTCGACGATCTTTTCGACCTCCTTGATGACCTCGACGGGGTTCTCGACGATAACCTCCTTGATGACCTCCTTCTCGACAATCTTCTCGACCGGGACCTCCTTGATGACCTCCTTCTCCACGATCTTTTCGACCGGGACCTCGACGATGCGCTCAGTGACGTGGTCGCCGGAGGGTACGTTGAGAGTCATCTTCTCGCGACTGGCAGAGTTGCGCATGCCACGGCGAGCGGTCCAGCCACCGGCAGCAGCCGCAGCCGCGCCGAGGCCGAAGGCGAGGAATCCCTTGCCACCAGCAGCCTTGTCCTTCTGGTCGTCAGAGTCGGAGTCGGCACTGGAGTCGTTGCCACCGTTGGCGGTCGCGTAGGCCTCGGTGTCGGTCGGGAAGTCAGAAGTCATGGCGCGGACCGGGGTCAAAGAGCCAACAGTCTCGCGACAGTCCTCGAAGTCGGTCTCAGCCTCAGTGTCCATAATCGTAGACTGGGTGGACGCCGGCGAGGCGAGCTGGATGGGAGCGGTCTGCGGGGTCGTCTCGATGTCGAATGATTTCTGGTCGGCGCGAGGGGTGGTGGCAGAGCCCTGGGGAAGGGGAGTTCCGAGAGGGGAGACAGAGCTCTCAGGCGACCAGTCGTCGGTCATAACCGCGGCATCGGCATAAGAGGAAGCTTCAGGAGCAGCGAGCTCATCGCTGAGAGCAAGAGTCGGGCCGGCAACGCTGGCCTCTGAAGCCTGTCGGGAGTGTCCGGATGCGCTGACAAAGTCGTCCACAGTGCTAGCGATGGAGTGCGAGCGTTGGTGAAGACCGGGGGGAGTGGCAGGTGCAGTTTCGTTGAAAGCGTCACCCAGTGAATCTCCGAGGGTCTCTCCGAGGGCATCGTTGCGCTTCGAGAGAGGCGACGCAACACGTGTAGAAGCCGGAGAGTCATCGATGTTACGGCTGCGCAGTAGATCAGGAGTGCCCGAAGAGTTGGAGTCGAAGCTCTGATCGGCGATGACGGGTGAATCGGCAAGGCTGGTTGCGCCCCGAGGGAATCCAAGCTTGCGCGAGAACGAAGAAGCGAATCCACCCCGTCCTCGTCGGCCGCGGGTCGAACCCTTTCCACCGTTGCGCAGAGAGAACATCTTGCTCATGTCGTCCTTATCGTCAATAACGCCAAACTCGTTGATCTCAGGGACCTCGAGGTTGCTCGAAGGAGCAGTGGACTCCTTGGCCTCGTGGGCGGCCTTGACCTGCTCCTTGAGGCCGGCGATCTCGGCTTGCGCCTTGGCCAGCGACTCGCGCAGCTCCTCCACTTGGCTGTTATCGGCGTAGATCTCGCCCAGCGGTGACCGCGGGTAGGTCTTCTCGGGGGAGTGGTTGGGCGAGTCGAAGTCGGAGGCGTACAGTTGAGACGGCGAGAGGGCCTGGTCGTTGGCATCGAATCCAGGGCCCCTGCGTCGGGGAGTGTTGGGGTCGGCACCAAAGACATCGTCATCGTCAGAGTCGTAAGAATTGCGGACGGCAGGGCTGCCGAGACGCATGGAACGAGACTTCTGAGCGGCATTGGCACGCTGTCGCTCGGCGTTCAGCTCCGAGAGCAGATCACTCTTGTCGCGGGCGAGTCCGGCCGCAGCCTTGCGGGACTGAGCCATGTCGGTGTCGTGCTTCGCCCTGAGCTCCTCGATGAGCTGAGCGTTCTTCTCGGCCTCCGTCTTGTGGGCCTCGGCAGCTTCGCGAACAGACGCCAGCTGCTTCGTGAGGCGAGTTTGCTCGGTCGACGCTTTACTAAACTGGCTCTGGATGTCCTGGTGCTGTGTTCGCAGCTCCTGCAGGCTAACCTCAAGGTTCCAGTTGTCGTCCTTGTAACGGTCTGCCGTTAGCTACCGGGTGGCCTCCAGCCCTTGCTTACTCACCGACTGTAGCCTCTGCGTTCTTGATAGTGGTAGCGAATTTGGTGCGCTCAGTTTCCCATGCATCTCTCTCCTCGTTCATGTGCGTGATTGTGCGGTCACGCTCGGTGAGGAGGGATTGCAGTCTGCGGACCTCGACGAGCAGGTTCTGGCCGATCTCGGTCGCAAACTCCATATCGAGGGCTCGGTTCTGCTGCGCATTGCGCTGCCGCCGCGTGAGCGTGTTCGGGCTTTGAGTCCCTGTGCGCTTATCGGGGGTCTCTAAGGGCGGTCCGAAGTCGGACGCAGCATAGGGCTCGGAGTTGACCTCGACGAAAGCCTGGCGTCAGTCGTTGCACACGCACACAGGACGCTGTGCCGCGAGACTCACCTGATCTCCTCCGATTTCGCGGATAAGGGTCTGGTTATCAGAGTCCCAGCCCTTGATGGCGTCTTGGAGCTCGAGCAGCTTGGTTCTCGTAGCGTCGCTGATCTCCGCGCCGCCGTCTTCGTCCATGTCGCCGAGTTCTCGGATACGCTCCTCGAGCTCGGTTTGCTGGGCGAGGATCTTCTGGCCCATGGTGCCGACCATGTGCAGCTTGTTCGACTTGTCGTCGAGCAGCTTCTGCAGCTGTGTCCGGACGTATGACGGGTTCATGGTGGTCGCTGCGAGCTCAGGGGACGGAGAGCGAGCGAGTTGGGTGGTAATCGTGGGGATCGTGTCGGAGCGCTGCTTAGCAGCGGCTCCCCCTGAAGCTTTGAGCACCAGTCAAGGCTCGCGGATCAAACAGAACACACAAGTTGAAAGATATGGGGGTGAAGAATGAACCAGCTCTCTCGATCACAAGTGGCGAACGATACCCGACCTGGCGAACAAGGTGGTTGTCGTCGGGGCAAGGAGGGAAGAGTCCTTTGCGGGTGTTTGTGACGGAGGCTGGATCAAGAAGCTGGAACGGTGTCAGTGGTGTGAGCTGGCGTGGTAGATGCGGGTAAGAGTAGTTTGGTAGGCTTGCACGGGCTATGCAAGTGTGTTGGGAGTAAAGGCTCGTCGCTTGGTGTGTGTGGAAAGAGCCTAGCGCAGGGGCGGGCCTTTTCAAAGCAGACGGAGGAAGTGATCGAGAGGAGAGGAAGTCGGTGTGGTGAAGGCGAGCTGGCACTACTCACGCTTGGTCGCCGACCTGTGCGCGTCGTGGCGGCGTTGAATGAGCGTGACTGGTGAGAAGGTAGGAGATAGGAAAAGAGAAAGAGGAAGAAGGAGAAAGGAGAGACGGGGAGTGAGACTGTTGTTGGTGGGAATAGGAGCAGGCAATGTCAAAGAGTAGTAGAGAGTGTGTGTTGTGAAAGGGTATAGTGTGTGGGGGGAGATGAGAGCGGGAAGGAGATGCAAGGGTAGGATGGATCCTTGTTGACTTTGTTTTCGTCCAGGCGCAGGCGCTGGGTGCTGAATGTGGTGGGTGGCCTTGACCGCAGCGGCGCGCTGTGACAGGGCCGGGCTGCCTTCATGCCTGGCATGTCTCGCCTGCCTGGGTGGTGGACCCATGGTCGAGCTCAATCGGACCCTGACCCGCATGGCCTGTCTCGCCTGGGAGCTGAGTGCTGAGGGCGAAGGGCGCAGGTGAATGTCTGAGGACGATCAAGCACTAAACACAAGGAACCATGACGTGGGTTTTGATACCGCTCAACGCGTCCTTGGGTGCTGAGCCTGGCCTCCATAAGCCGTTGCATGCCTCAGCGCGCGCTGTGGTGACTGGTCGAGCGACGCGCAATGAATCCAAACTCTAACACGACCTCCAACCATCAAAACATTGCTCAAGGAGATGACGCACTCCAAAGATAACGTTCCACAAACAAAACATTCACTCCCATTTCACAGCCCATATACTCTTCCACCTACAACAACGGTTGTAACAACTTTGCGGAGTGCCCACCAAGTCGCTCTTTGCCACTGAATACTCACCAGTCCAGGCTTCCCTGCTGCCGTGCCGCCGTCAATTCCTGGCTGAAACGCCTAGTCACCGGAGTCAGCTCGCAGCGCATGCAGAATGCTGAACCGACTGACCTTGGTTACCCTTTTCGACCGTTCTCCGCGCCGCCAGATCCTTGTCCTACGCGGAAACACTTGACGCCCTCACCGTTAGGCTCTGCACAACAAGTCTGTGCGTATGGCCCATTCATCGTGAAACCACGTCCAGCGTGTCAGCGTGATGCATCGAGCGCCCTTGCCCGCCGCGACCACGCAGTCCGGACTGGCACCATGGCACCACGATGCTACATGCCAGCGCAGAGAGGTCAACGATTAGCACATGCGCCGCAATCCAAGTGAGGCAGCTCAGTACTATAGCAGTACTTGCGTACAGAGCCTATGCGTTACGATCGCTACTTCCAAGACGTGATGTTCATGGGGATCGTCGTTCGAAAAGATCTCACCATCTCAGCCGCCATGCTTCCTGGGCGTGAGCAAGTCCGCTTGAAGGGTGATGTCCAACTCGGACAGCGGCCGACAGACGCTTGCGATTACAGTATTGCGATTGCACCGTCGCTTGGAGGTGTCGGGCATATTAGGTGACGACCTCTGCAGCCTCGGGCTGTGGCGACAACCTCGCTACCTGGTGGGGTTAGAAGCTCTCGCTCGTATCACCTGGCCCTTGTGACCACATCGAAACGTCCACGAACGTTGCACGTTGCGGAGGAAGTTGAGTGAATGGCATCCCAGCTGTCCACCCGGTTGAATGCGGTTGAATGCGGCCCTCTCACGGTGGTCTGCGAACCAAAGCTTGGCCGGGATGCCAAGGCACGGTTGACACGTTGCCGTTCCGATCGCTCATGTCGATCCCCGGTCTGCGCGTGCACTCTTTTTCCGGAGCAACTTTGTCTCGCATGCATCGCTTTCCATCTTCCTCCGGTCGTTGGGGTGACAGCCGACCGAAGAATGATAAGAATAAGAACCGAATGCTGTGCTCATGGTTGATGAGGATGCATCTGTGCTGTGCGATTTCCTGTGTAAGACGGTCCTGGTGGCTGCGGGGTAAAGGTGCGGGGAAACCGTGACGCGTGTACGGCACGCTCCGCCTCCTGGCCTCCTGGCTGCACGATCGCCACCGCACCGCCACGCCCTGGGCACGCACGACACGGGCACGCCGGCCAACCCGACTGACCACCGTCCATGGGCGTCCACAGCTGTCCACCGAGATCTGACGGCTGCATCCTAGATATTTACGCCTTCCCCCGACAACACCTTCCCCTTCTCCTGACCCTTTCTCACACCACCACCTCATCTCACCATGGCGAGGAACACCCTGTTCTTCATAGCCATCGCTATCGTTGCGCTCTCCTTCGCGCCCAAGGCTTATGCCTTCGGCGCAGGCAATATCCCTTCCTACTCGTACATGGAGGACAAGGCCTTCCGTCACGGAGACATTGAAGGTGAGTAATACTAGCCAACGCTGTGTTCCCTCTAGCTGACTACCAGATGTCATCGCCAAGATGATCAAGATCACCGGAGGCGGCTTCCTCAGCCGCGGCGTCAAGTTCAGCGGCCTCGACGGTGAGTTGTAGGGCTGGGCCAGAACTGACAATACAGTGAAGCGCACCTACTTTGGAAACTGGCTCAGAGACTACTCCCAGGTGAGCTGGACGTTTCTCTGATGAAAGCTGACGTCAGGCTGTCGACATTGCGTCGCTCAAGATGGTGCCCCTCCAGACTGTCCTGAACATCGTCATGGTCCTCGGCTTCCTCGGTATGTTCAAGCGTCTCGGTTGCGACTAACCTGCCAGCCCACGGTTACGCCACCGGCGAGTTCGAGGTCACCAAGGAGCGTCTCGGTACCTACCTCCCGACCGAGCACATTGACAACCCCAAGGGCTACGGCGAGGGCGAGGACCCCCGCAAGTACGACCCCCGCCTGCGCCCCCCGGTCGACCCTCGCGAGCTCGAGATCGACCCCCAGTCGGGCATGAAGAACTACATTGCGAATGGTGAGCTTTCCACATCCTCTTCCAGCTAACAACCAGAGCGCGGCCACTGGGATACCTCCTCCGCCCTCGTGCGCCGTACGCTGCTGCAGTGTATCGACGCTGGACGCAACTTTGTCCAGACCAAGAACTCGGCCGCCGAGTACGAGGCCTTCCGCCTTCTTGGCCAGGCCCTCCACACTCTGTAAGATGGCAGCGGAGAAACGATCTAACGCTTCAGGGAGGACTTCACCGCGCACTCGAACTACTGCGAGCTTGTCCTCATCTCGCTCGGATACCAGAACGTCTTCCCCCACGTCGGCCGCAACACTCAGATCCGCAGCCCCCAGGGCCGCCCTGTCTTCCCCCTCGTCACGGGATCGTTCGGTGGTGCCGACTTCATTCACTCGCTCATGGGTGAGGCCGGCGACAAGCTGTCCTCGGTAAGCTGCCCGCGGTGGTGTGATAAGCTGACAACAGGCCGCTGTCTCGGACCTCTCCAAATCGTTCGAGAACTCACGCAGCATCAGCGACGCCCAGTCGAACTCGGCTAACACCCTTCGTTCGCTGTTCCTGGACCTTCCGGACGGACAGGGCCAGAGCCTGTCGCGCGAAATGGATGACATCCAGTCGATGCGCGCTAACGGCCCGTCGCAGGACCCCTCCACGATGAGCCCGCAGGAGCTGTACCAGACGCTGTGGAAGATTCTCAGCTTCCGTGACTCGGTCATGAAGAAGATTGAGAACACGCTCGACAAGATCCCTCTCCTTGGAGCGCTCGTCGAGAAGATCTCCAACTCGGTCTCCGTCTTCATCATGACCACACTTGAGCCGTACGTCAAGCCTCTTCTCGGCACTGCGACCACTGCGCTCGGCGACTCGTCCCAGGCGCTTCTTGACGCCCACAAGGACGACCAGTTCGAGGTCTGGAACAACCCGAACTCGACCGACCCGACGCACTCCTTCCTCTCGAAGGTGGGTTGAGAGGTGCATGAGCTGGGGGAAGACTCCACCGCAGAGCTAACTGCAGGACCACTTCGCCCTTATCCTGAACGAGCCTGCCGGCCAGATCGCCAAGATCATCGTGCAGTACTCGGTCGAGCGTATTGTGCAGTGCTGGAGCGACAGCAACATCAACCCCAACCAGGCGATCACCGACATTCTCGGCTGTCTGCACCACCCCGACTTCCGCAACCCTAACTGTAAGCTCCCCAGTACAGGCTCAAGCTAACCCTACAGCGCAGATCCAGACGCAAATGTTTGAGCACATGCGCAACTGGATCGAGCAGACTGGCCGCGACAAGAACGAGATCATCAACCGTCTCGGCTCGGACAACGTGCGCAACGGCAAGAACAAGCGCATCGGTGACAACTCGGCGGACACGGGACACGTCCACGCCGCGGGTCTCCCCGACGGTGGTCTGCAGGCCGTCCTCGCGCAGCACAACGTGCACGTGGTGAGTTTTCTCTTGGCGTCAGCAACTGATATCAGCCTGGTGCCAATATCCTGAACGCCGGCCAGGACCTTGCTAGTGGCAAGATGGTGAGTGCTTCGAGCTGCTGGCATGACGGCCCAATAGCTGACATCAGCCTTGGCAGCAGGGCTTCGGCCAGGGCGGTCAGCACGCCTGGCGTGGCATGGACGACGGTGCCCAACAGTCGTACGGCGGTAACAACTCGTACAACCAGCAGCCTCAGCAGTCGTACGGCGGTAACAACTCGTACGGCCAGCAGCACCAGCCTCAGCACCAGCAACACCAGCAGTCGTATGGCGCACCCCCGGGTCCCCCTCCCCAGCAGTCCTACGGCCAGTCTAACTACGGACAGGACCAGTCGTACGGTCAGCACGGCCACGGTCACCACCAGCAGGGAGGCTTCAACCAGCCTCCTCAGCAGCAGTACGGCGGCCAGCAGGGCGGATGGAACCAGCCCCCGCCCCAGCAGTACGGCGGCGGCGGCGGTTACGGACAGCCCCCTCCCCCTCCTCCCGGCCAGTACGGCGGTGGTGGCTATGGACAGCCTCCCCCTCCTCCGGGACAGGGACAGTGGGGCCAGCAGCAGAACCAGTACGGCGGTAACAACCAGTACGGAGGTCAGCACGGGCACCACGGTCCGTCAGGAGCTGGCAGGTGGTAAGCAGCGACGAGCGCAGGATGAGCGTAGCGAGTCGTGAGACGTTAGTCTCCCAGTTTGAGTTTCCCCCCACCCTTCAACAGAGCAGTTTATGAGCAGAAGTAAAATGTTTCGTGATTAGATGTGCATGCAAGATCCCCTACACTTCGATCGCCTGCCTCTTCTTGTGTCGCTTCACACCCCACCGGACACCATGATAGATGAGCAGAATAGCAACGAAACACCCCACAATGGCAGCACCAACGTACCCGCTCGCATCGTTTGCGCGGGCCCACGCACGCCACCAACTGCCCGCCAATCCGCCTCCGTCCTCCGCCTCAGCCGCCTCGCGACACGGCGTGCACTGTTCCCCGATCAGGCCCATGATCTCAATCAGCGAGATGGACAGCGCCACAGCGATGGAGAGTAGGGTCAGGGAGATGGAGAGGGAGGACATGGTGGCGGTCTTGGTGTGCATGACGCGGGCGTTGGGTTCGAGCTCGTTGTGCACTTCGGCGGTGAGTTTCGTGCTCGTGTCGGTGTTCGGGTCGGTGACGAGGGGGAGGGACTTGGTGCTGTCGAGAGGGGATGCGGCGGGGGTCTCGAAGGGATTGGAGGTGATCTCGGACGGCATGGAGTCAAGCTTGGAGTCGGGCTTGGTGCCCTTGCCACTGTCGTCGGGCTTGGAATCGACCTCGAGTAAAGTGGACGGGCCCACGGCAGGCAAGACGGGCTCAGCAGCCTCATAGTCGTAACTTTCGAGTCGCTCCTGCCTCCGAGCTTGGCTTCTCTCCTCACTCTCCCTTCCCACTACCACCACATTCTCGACCTCGCCCTCAATACCTCCCTCAGCCACCGTCTCCTCCCGACCCTCATCCACGCCCTCATCACCATCGCCGAGGAGCGGCTTCTTCTCGATAATCCTCCACCTCCCCTTGACTCTCAGCTCAGGCTGGGCATAAGCGTACAGCATGAGGATCGAGTCGAGACTATCGACAAGCGACATGCCCGCCGTAAAGAGGAAGGGGAGTACGACAATCTTGCCGTGCGAGATGGCGTTGCCCTTATGGTCCCTGCTGGCGATGGCCGAGAGGGCGAGGAGGGCGATGGAGCTGGCTGTGTCGAAGCCCTGGATGTCAGCTCATGTTGCCTTTGACGTTGCTCGGACGAAGATGAGGGCTGAGGAAGAGGGGAGGGGAGAGCAGAGTGACGACGGTAGAACCTCAGTCTCACAGTCGAGATACAGGACGCACGCAGGGGAGCGGCGACCTCGGCGGCATTCAAGCCAGGAGTCGATATGCAATCGGCTGGTCCTGCAGAGTCCGCACTCGGTCCTCCTCCCTGTCCTCCCTGCCCCCTCATCTCTTACCCCTCACCTCCTCCCCGCTCGACCAAACGTGGAACTCACGAATCCAAAAAGAATGCCAACCGGATAAAGTTTCCAGGGCCTGTCCACCGCCTTCAAGATGGGTCCCACAATACGGACGAGACATCCCCCGCCGTGAATCGCCTTCGTCTCGTCCTCGGCGGGCGGGAGGCCCATGGCTTCCCGCGCCTTGCGAGCGCGGCGGTGCCGGAGCGCGTCGTATAGGAACCACGAGTTTATGACTGCCACGAGGAAGAGGAAGGAGGCGGACACAGACGTGCCGACGATGCCGCCTATGGCGCCGACGCCCTCGAGCTTGTCGTAGATGTCCACGCTAGGGTTAGCCTCATTGTTGCCATTCACAGGAGATCGGGGGAGGGAGGAGAAGGACGAGCGTTGGTCACGGCTACTGCAACTCCGGTCTGCCCAGAGTGGTCATGCAGCTGGGGAGATTGCAGAAGGCACTCCATCGGCAATCGTCAGGCCTTGTGTGGCTTGCTGAGATTGCCATATCGCCTTCATCGTCATTCCAGCTTCTCCAACGCCGCCGGGGGTCAGGATATCCACTCTTCGGCAAGCAGACAAAGTCCAGATGTTCTCGCCCGCCGCCGAGTTTGGTCATGACCCGCCCACCAGATAGGAGAAATCAGGAAGCGGAATGATCACAGGGAAGCAGTCCATCCCTGTGACAGAGAAGCAAAACAAGACGGCTCATCGGCAATCACGCGGGCATCTGCAATTTTCGGCAGGGCGGCTAGGGTTGTCACCTCATTGCCTATCATTGCCGCTAGTCACGCTGTCGGCCCACACTTCCCACTCCACTTGCCACTGCGGCAGCCGCTCGATGCACTGAGCCGGATGGTCTCCCAGCCCACAGCTCATGGCCTGCACACGTCGCGCCCTACCTGCCCACGACTCTCTGCTCGCTCCGCTCGTAGTTCGTAACACTCACCTAACAGCAATAGCAATGTTGACCGCAATGACAATCGTCGAGTGGCCGAGACTGAACCACAGTCCACAAGTGATAGGCAGGCGGCCCATGGAGACCATCTGTCTCGTCGCATTGTCGATGGCGCTGATGTGGTCTGCGTCGAGGCCGTGGCGGAGCCCGAGCGTCCACGCCAGCAGGGCAATACCGAGCAACCCATCGGCCTGGCTGAAGCAGAGTCCGGCTGCGACCCAACAGGCAATGTTGAAGAGGGCCTCGAATGTGAGGAGCGCGATCGCGCGCCCGACGAGGGTTAGCCGGATGGGCGAGTGGAAGTGCAGGCGGCCGAGGCGCATGCTAACTTTTGCGCTCGAGTTCGTGTGTGATGGGCAAGTTCAAGAGAGGGGGAGAGGGGGAGGATGTGGTGCATGTATTTATCTCGACGGCTATGGCAGGGTGGGGCTCGTTCTTTCGACCCGTTGACCCATTGACCCGGGTTAGAGAACATTGCCAAGCGCGCCGGGCAACTGGGAGCCAGTTACGGACCGTTCTATTCCAGGCGGCTTTGGCAACCTTGATTCCCATGGGATCCAGGAACCTACAGGACGGCCAGGACCAAGCGGCATGTCAAGCGTCAACTGATAGGGAACTTAGCATGTCCTATCCGCGCTGCCGGTGGTGTTGTGCCCAGAACACGACAGGGCAAGGGCTCACTCCACACCCGGAACAGTGGGCCAATGACGCAACTCACACATTCGCCAATTCCCGATCATGATCAAGCCTCACCTGACCCCTCCGAGATAAGCCATACAGGGGGGGAGCAGATACAATCGGAAAAGAGCAAAGCCACGCGACAGAAGCAAACGGCCTCCACCAGCTCGAAATGTCCAGGCTGCTGCAACAACAACCGCTCACGACGATCACCAGACTACCTTCCTCAACTACCCCCTCTCTGCTAACTCGAGCAAGAGGAAACACATCGAAAGGGCGACGACATGCCGCCAAAGTTCTGGAAGCCCGGCACTGCCGCTCCAGGTAAGCTACCTTTCCGCACAGCTAGCTTACATCAGGCTCTTCCCTCGACCGAGCAGCGGAGGAAGGCGGCGCGGCCGTCTCGAGTGCGCCGAGGCACGACCTTTCTCTCGAGGCGCAGAGGCGGAGGTTGCCGGTGTTCAAGCATCGCGAGAAGCTCCTGTACTGCGTCGAGAGGTACCAGGTTACAATCGTGGTCGGCCAGACTGGTAGCGGAAAGTCTACGCGTGAGTGACCTTCCCCTGATCACCGAGGAAGGTGGCCTTCCTTTTCGCATGCTTCGCAGCCAGGGTTTGAAGAGAGACCCAGGTCACTCCAGGATCCATGGCCGTCGCGTTGAAAATCTTCGCTAAGCATTGCGCCGAGCTGTAGCTGATACTCAGAAATACCGCAATACCTGCACGAAGCCGGGTGGAGTGCGGATGGCCGCGTCGTGGCATGCACGCAGCCAAGACGAGTAGCTGCGACATCAGTAGCGACCCGAGTCGCGGAGGAGGTCGGCAGCGTGCTTGGTGACGAGGTCGGATACTCGATCCGGTTCGAGGACCTGTCCGATCCACAACGCACGCGCATCAAATATATGACCGACGGCATGCTTTTCCGCGAGTGCATGCTGGATCCGCTGCTGAGCAAGTATAGCGTGATCATGGTGAGTCGAAAGCTAGCCAGTCGGATTCACGAGCTGACGTTAGATCGATGAAGCACACGAGCGCGGCGCGTACACCGATCTTCTGCTCGGACTGCTGAAGAAGATCATGAGGAAGCGGCCAGAACTCCGCGTCATCATCTCGTCAGCGACTATTGATGCGTGAGCTCATAGTTTGGAGGTGAGCTAATTTCAGCGAGGACTTTCTCGAGTACTTCAACACGAACGCCGGCGGGGAGGATCGGGAGAAGGACGATGCAATCAGTGAGCTTGATTGACCGCATCAGCTGACATCAGTCGTCTCGCTCGAGGGGCGGATGTACCCTGTCGAAGTGGCGTTTCTCTCAGAACCTTGCGCCGACTACGGGCAAGCAGCCATTGACGCTGTCTTTGCGATCCACACGAAGGTGAGTTGAGCTAGTCTTGTCGGTCTAACTCGCAGGAACCCGCCGGCGATGTGCTCGTGTTTCTGACAGGACGAGAAGAGATCGACACAGCCATCCAAGCTGTCGCTGATCGCGCTGCTTCGCTCCCACCAAGAGCGCCCAAGATTCTCGCTCTGCCGCTGTACGCGACTTTGCCTGTGGAGGAGCAGGAGATCATCTTTGAGCCTCCACCGAAAGACACGCGCAAGGTCATCTTCGCGACGAACATTGCCGAGGCGAGTGTGACGATCGACGGAATCAAGTATGTCGTCGACAGTGGTTTTGTGAAGGTGAGTGCTCTGCAGCTCTGCGCATTTGTCACCCAGCTAACACACAGCTCAAAACCTTCAACCCGCGAACGGGCATGGATGTGCTCACGGTCACGCCGTGCTCGTTGGCGTCGGCGAACCAGCGTGCGGGTCGTGCCGGTCGAACATCAGCGGGCAAGTGTCTCCGGTTATACCCGCCGAGCATCCTTCCCACCAACAACGCCCTCTCGCCAATGCCAGTGACGACGCCGCCGGAACTGGTGCGCTCAGACATCTCGACGTACCTCTTGCAATTGAAGGCGCTCGGCATTGAGAACCTAGCCAAGTTTGACTTCATGTCCCCACCACCAAGCGACATGATGGTGCGCGCTCTCGAGTTCTTGTACTCGCTCAAGGCGCTAGATGACTCTGCTCATCTGACGCCACTGGGCGAGCGGATCGCGGAACTCCCCCTGGACCCGATGATGGCGACGATTGTAAGTGGAGCGCGAGATAGCTTCCATAGCGAAGGCCATAAGCTGACATCGCAGCTTCTGAATAGCGCCGAGTTTAGATGCTCCGAGGAGATCTTGACCATCGCGGCCATGACGAGCGTGCAGGGCGTGTTCAATATGCCTGACGGCGGGCCGAATACGACCAAGGGCGCGCTGGCCGAGGTCGAGCGGCGCAAGTTCACGGCTGAGGAGGGTGATCATCTGACTCTGCTTAACGGTATGTCCACCTACTCCTTCACTTATTCCTTGTATACTGCTGTCGGGGGCCCTAAAGCTAGCTGACACACAGCCTATAACGCCTTCATGAAGTACGGCCAGCGGGATAAGAGCTGGTGCGGCCAACGCCGCCTGAACTATCGTGCCTTGCAGCGCGCCCAGAGCATCCGGAAACAGCTCAAGAAGTACTTGGAGCGCTTCGGTATCCGCTCAGTGTCGTGCGAGGGCGATCACGTCCGATTGCGCAAGTGTCTCGTCTCGGGCTACTTCAAGGTAAGCTACCCGGCTCCCTCGAAGCTGACACCAGAACGCGGCCAAAATGCTCCCGGACGGATCGTACCGCAGTGCACGAGAGGGTGCGACGCTGTACGCTCACCCGTCGTCTGTCATGTTCACGCGGCAACCGAGCACCGGTTGGGTCATCTTCACGGACGTGCTGGAGACGAGCAAGAGCTTTATGCGGGATCTGACTGTGATCGAGGAGGAGTGGCTTGTCGAGCTTGCGTGAGTTGCCGCGCTAGCGGGTGGAACTGACATACAGGCCGCACTTTTATCAGTTCAAGGGTGGGGGTATCAAGCAGCACTAGAATGTATCGACGATGTATCAGTATCCAAGTTGGATAATCGAGGGTGCACTAACGACGATTTACCCAGTTGTTTTGACAACATGCATGCCGAGGCAGTGATCCTCCCGGATCTCGTCATCCACCCTCCATCACATTGACCACCACTTCATAAGTAGTGAGGGAGCTGCTGCACGAGCACTGGTAGCTAGGCACGGCGCTAATCTGCAAGTTGTAAGCTTGGGGTGAAAATTCGAAGCTGCGTTAGGAGCTCGTGTGGCGTTAGTGGCAGGTTGGCTGCGGTTTAATTTCGATATTGGACATCCAGTTGAAACCTTTTGCACTTGCATATCTACTTTGTACTTCACACATTCTCCCTCACACCCACTCGTATTCCATCCCGCATTATAGCCGTCTACAATCAAACCAGTTCGCTGATCATGCCACTCACAACCTCCCGGACACCTGCGAACCCGCCCCAGCCGCGCATTTCGTCGGCTAACAGTGGTTCTTCATACGTTAAGAGATCCGAAGTTTTGGAGGGTGGCGAAGAGTCGTCCGAACCATCAGCGACCTCACCCTTATCGCCATCCCACAGCGTCCGACCGTCTGTAACCGGTGGGCGGACGTTCCCAAGCTCGCAGAAGTACCGACCCTTCTGGCCCCTGCCTCGGCACCCTCTTCATATCGCACAATGGGGAGCGCGTGTTGGCACGCGTAAATGGGAGGCAGCGGAGAAGGTTCAGGACTTTGAGACGATGGTCGCAGTCTTCGCGCCGGCGGTACTCGACGCGGTGCTTGAGAGGTAGGCTGTACCCTCTGAGATCGACGTTGACGTGCAGGATGTTGAAGGCGCGCGATGTGCGAGGCGAAGAGATCAAGCGCAAGGTCGATGGCCCCACCTTCGTACCACACGATGGGCCTCCGACCTTTCAAGAGTGGCTAGTCATGACGAACGATTTCGTGTGCGAGACATACGACGTCGTAAGTGAGAACCCGCTATCATGCTGACCCGCAAGGCGCTCGATCGTCTGCCATCCGCTTTCAGAGAGCAGGCACCCAGTCTCGCAAGGGTCGGGACACACTGTCGCGCCGTGCTGAATGCCGCGTGGTACCCCTCCTTTGACTCTCGGTACCCGCCCGCGCGCTACGACATGAGGAGGGCAATCCCTCTGGAAGAGCTGGGTATCTGCGACCCGATGTCCGAGGCGAATTTCAGCGACGTGAGCCACTGGGCAATGGAGGCGTATGGGCTGGATTCACCTCCTCCTTTGGCACGAGAACGGGTCCCAACGCCTGTGGAGGAAATTGACGAGGATGAGTGGGAGGAGAGGTTGGCGGAACTGAGGGAGGCGGGGTTGTTGCGCGACTGACTGCAGTAGATTGGTAGAAACTATATATGATCTAGTGTGGATGAGCCGAGGGAGTCGTGAGTGTTATAAGCGGCGTTTTCACTGTGTTGCCACTTCACTGCCATTCCCGAAGACGATTCAAGCCACCCAACATCCAGCCGCTAACACTTTTGATTTCATCACTCAACTCGTTGCAAAAGAATGCCAACCAAGCAGAGTCGGTTGCACAGCTCGGAGCCTCGGATACCTTCCAATGGCTGCGCGGGATCGGAAACCTCATCTGACTCCCCATCCTGGACCGGAAGCGACAACGCCGAAAGGTCCATCACGGGTTCGTCATCGAGGTCCAACAATCCCTTCACCAAGTCCGACCACAGCGGCTTTCCTGCCTCGCAGAGGTATACTCCCGACTGGCCCATGCTGCAGAACCCACGAAACATAGCGCGTTGGGGCGCGCGCATCGGCACGCGCAAATGGCTTGCGGCAGCAGAAGTTGACGATTATGCGATAATGGCTTCCGTGCTCGCTCCAGCTGTCCTAGACGCTGTCTTGGAACGGCAAGTGTACCCGACATCGCGATTCACTGACGCCCAGCATGTTTGACGCCCGTTGTCCCCCTGGAACTGGCCTCCGTGGTACGGCGCGGGGACCACATCCGGAGCGCCCCGGCCGTCGCTCATTCCAAGAGTGGCTCGACCTAACGACCGAGATCGTGCGCGAGGTATATGCCTCGGTAGGTCTCTTTCCCTTCTCCTACATTTTGTCGAGCGCCGCTCCTCCTTCTGCACGACTGACCCCAGGCCCTGTCCATCCTTCCGCCAGAGTATCAAGGGAAGGCGCCTCCGCTGCCCCGTGTCGGTACTTTCTGCCGCAACGTTATGAACGCGGAATGGTACCCCGTTCTGGACTCCTGGTATTACCCTGGCAGCTACGAGATGCTGCGTCCGATCCCGCTCGAGGAGCTCGGCATCTGCAACCCGATGGCCGATGGTAATCTCTCTGACGTGCAGGAATGCGCTCGCGTCGGACACGGCTGGGAGGAGCCGCCGCCGTTTGAGCTCCCTGTTCCCGAGGACTTTGTGGAGGAGATTGAGCTCAGCGAGGATGAGTTTGACAAGAGATTGGCTGAGCTGCAGCAGGAGGCGCACATCTGAGCTGCCGAGTAACGTTTAGGCAGTTCTGTCTGTAGCACTATGACGAACAAATTGTATTCATTGTAGCGTCTGAGCCTTCACTGTTAATCACGTCCAGAGAAGCGTCCTGATGAGATGAGTAGAGACATCAGTAGTGTGAGAATAACTACGGAGATCCACAACCGCGGCTGAGCTAGTCTGGAGATACAAGAGCATACAATCACCGCCCATGTCGTTTCTGCCCAATATTTGAGGTGACTGAACCACCCGAAGTCGTATTCTCCACCTCACCCGCCCGTCATGTCCCCATCACCCCCAGACCCAAGAGGCTTCCCTTGTTCGCAGACATACACTCCTGATAGGCCGTTGCCCAATTTTCCCCGCCATATCGCATGTTGGGGAGCGCGTGTGGGCACGCGCAAATGGAAGGCAGCGGCGAATATTGGCGACTTCGAGGCAATGGCTGCTGTCCTCGCTCCTGCCGTCTTGGATGCGGCGCTCGAACGGTAGGTCGCAGTCGCCGTTCACCACGCTGATCTCCAGAATGTACGACGCTCGCAAGCCCAAGGTCCCTGAGAAAGGCCACGGGAGCGAGGCGCGCCAACCTCATCCCGAGCGCCCCGGCCGCCGCACGTTCCAGGACTGGATCGACCTGACGACGCAGATCGTGCGAGAGGTGTATGCTTCTGTATGTTCTCTGTCCCATTTCAATCGCAGCGCGCGCGACGCGTGCGTCGCGTACGTTGCGTCAGCATGACTGACAGTAGGCTCTGTCCTCTCTGCCGCCAGAGTATCAAGCACGGGCACCGCCGCTGTCTCGCGTCGGAATTCTATGCCGTAACACCATGAACGCTGAGTGGTCGCCAAGCGTCGACTCGTCGTACTATCCCTGTAGTTACAACAGGTCACGCCCGATCCCCCTCGAGGAGCTCGAGCTCGCAGGGTGCGATCCGAGATCCGAAGCCAACTTCCCCGACGTACAGGAGTGGGTCCGTGTGGCGCGCGGCTGGGCTGAGCCGCCCCCATACGAGCTCCCGGTTGCGTGCCCCGTGGAGGAGATTGAGGTTAGCGAAGACGAGTATGAGGAGACGTTGGCCGAGTTTCAAAGGGAGGCGCGTATTCAGTGGAGATTGGTAGGGGCGGAGCCGCCGACCAACGCTTAGCCATCGCTTATTGTAGCATCATGATTGACCTGTAGCTACCACTCTGTGCATCAACTGTTGAGATATTCCGGACATCAGCTTGTCACTTCATTAGCCCACCGTCAGGCTCTAAGGCGACCATCACTCCCATTCGCCACTACGCATGAGTTGCGCAAACGTGCCGCCCTTCGCAATGAGACTCGCGTAGCTGCCATCCTCGGCGACGCGCCCGTCCTGGAGGCAGACGATGCGGTCGCACCGCTTCATCGCCTCGGTTGAGTGCGTGATGAAGAACGTGGTGCAGTCTCGGCTGATCGCATCGATCGTGTCGAGGATGATGCGCTGATTCTCGACGTCGAGCGCGCTGGTGCACTCGTCGAGAATGAGTATGCGGGGTTTGCGAATGAGCGCGCGCGCAATCTGGATACGCTGCGCCTGCCCGCCCGAAATCAGGGATGCGTTCTCGCCCAGCTTGGTCTGGTAGCCTTGCGGCAGGGACTCGATGAAGTCGTGAATGTTGGCGGCGCGGCATGCATCGTGCACCTCGGAGAGAGGCACGTCGACCTTGGCCCCGTAGCGCAGGTTGGCGAGCACAGTGTCGTCAAACAGGTTCGCAGTCTGAGATACGACGCCGATGTGACGGCGCAGCCACGACGCGCTGATGCTGCCCAGCGGCCGGTCGTCGAGAGTCACGCGCCCACTGCCAGGCTCGTACAGACGCTGAATGAGTGCAGCGACCGTACTCTTGCCGCATCCGCTGGAGCCTACAATAGCGACACACTCGCCACGCGTGACGGACAAGCTGAAATGCGCGAGGACAGTAACGTCCGGCCGCTCGGGGTAGGCAAACGAGACGTCCTCGAAGCGTACGTCGCCCGTAATAGTGGGGCGGGCGTCGCCGCGCGACTCTGCCGTGACGAGAGACAGCGTCGCGAGGCAGTGGAAGTCGCGTGCGGCGACCTTAGCCTTGGTCAGGAGCGGGAGGAAGATGAGCATCTGGCTGCTGAATGTGAGGCTGAAGAGCACGAGTGTGAGAACCTGGAGCGAGGCGGGGTACGTCATTGTGCCGTTTCCGATGAACGTTGCTGCCACGAAGAGGAGGAGTGCTTGCGCACACAGAGGCAGGCCGGCATTGGTTGCCTGCGCGATACTAACGACGAGCGCGGAGTGGAACCCGGAACTGCGACACTCGGTTGCCTCCCTCGCGAAGCGCTCGCGGAAGCAGTCTTCGAGCGCCATGCCCCGGATACCGCGAACATTGGCGAGTGTCTCGAAGAATGTCTTGGCGACGGCCTCGCGCCGGCCCTTGTTGCGCTCCTCCGCGCGCTGAACCGCCCCCTCAGCGAACGCATACATCGCTCCTACGACGGGAACGATGGAGATGCCGATGAGGGTCATCTGCCAGCCGACGACAAGGGCCCAAACGATGCCGAGCCCGATCATGATGCACGTCACCAGAATGGCGGGCACGATCATCGCGACCAGGTTCCGCATGTCCTCGACGTCCTTGACCAGGCGCTGCGTCAGCTGCGCTGGGGCGTTGGCGGAGGAGTCGAACCATCCCTTGTCCTGTGCCAGGATACGGGCGTATGTGTCGGCACGCATCTGTGCGTTCCACCGCGCCGCGACGGCCGCACCGCCGAAATGCTCCACCCACGCCGCAGCTGCCAGCCCCGCACTGAGGGCGATCAGAACGGCACCCTGCACAGCAATCTTGCCCGAGTCCTTCGTCCCGACGAGTGCGAGCAGCTGCGCGAGATAGAATGAGTAGATAGGGATGGCGGCTCCGTGTGCAACTGCGCCAAAGAGAGCGAGCCACAGCAGCGGCTTGGACGGCAGGGCAGGGTAGTATCGCCGGATAAGAGCGGTCAAGCCCGGCAACTTGCCAGATGCAGTTTCAGTCTCCGCTGGCGAATCGACGGCGTCGTGCTTCTCGTCCCCGAGCACGACGTCGACGAGCTCAAACTCTTCCACTCCATCCGTCTTGTCAAACTTGTCCTCCATCGACACGATGGAAACACGCGACGTTTCCCTCCGCCACGGAGAGGCATCGTACAGGCTGGCTTGACTTTCCTGGTGATGCAGCCTGACCGTGCTCGTGCTCGCACTCGCGCTGTGTCGTCGGTACGGCCCGTTGCCGAGGTCCTCGCTGGTCCACGATAGGCGCTTCTGCGCGCGCGTAAGGTTGTATGAGCTCGGCGGGGGCTGCATCGAGTGTCGCTGTTTGACGGGGGACCCAGCGGGGGCATGTCCAAGGTCGGATTCCACGACGAGGCTCTCCTGGCTGATGGATCGGGGTACGCTGCTCCCACTAACCTTGCGTGCGTGGCCGGGCGTGCCAGTCGTGTGTAGGATCATGCCTGCGCGCTTGACCTTGACGGGCGTCTTGTTCCGACGCTGCATCTCGACATTGCCTAGATCGGCGAGGGAGGCGATGCTGGCCGGCCGGCTGAGGTCAGGGCGGAGAGAGACGGTGCTCATATTCCAACCGACAATGCGGGAGAGCCTGCGCTCCCCAGGATCCGGTAGCGGCTTAGCGGGCGCAGGACGCCACTCAAAGTCATCACGCGGAGGGAGGGGCTGCGCCGCTTGCCTCGCTGCCATGTCCTGGAAGGGCCCCGCGCGCGCCTCGAGGTCATTCCGGAACCCGTGGTCGGCGACGACGCCCTCAGCCATGACGTACACGTAGTCCTGGGCTGTGATCTGTGACAAGTCGTGCGTGATGACAATTGTAGTGCTGCCGCGGCGCCACGCCTTGATTGCATTGAACACATCGACGCGGCTCGTTGCGTCGAGAGCGCTCGTCGCCTCGTCGAGAATCAACACGGTCGGGTCGCGGATTCTTGCGCGGGCAATCGCAAGTCGTTGTCGCTGTCCACCGCTCAGCTGCGAGCCTCCGGTGCCCAGCATCGTATCGTAACCCTCGGGAAGGGACTCGATGAAGTCATGTATCGATGCCATCCTGCACGCATCCACGACGTCGGCGCGTGTGATGTCTTCCGGCCGCCGGACCTCGCCGTACATGTCCGCGCCGGCGCCGACGATGCCCATAGCCACGTTGTCGTGCACGCTCATGTCGAACAGGATGCAGCCCTGCTGAACGGCTGCGACGTGTTGTCTCGTGTAGGTGTCGGGGAAGTTCTCGAGGGCCCTGTTGTCGAGCGAGATCGCGCCACGAACGGGCTTGTACATTCGCAACAGCAGCTGGGCAATAGTGGACTTGCCGCTGCCACTCCCGCCGACGATGAAGGTCGTCTCACCCTCGGGGAGGAACAGCGTAATGTCCCTTAGCACCGTGACGTCTGGCCGTGAGGGGTAGTGGAAGGACACGCGCTGGAAGTCGAACTGGCCTCGGAAGCGGCGGGGGCGATTCGGGTCCGTGTGCGAGTGCGGCAGCGGGCCGGAGCGGAACCCTCGCTTGTCGTAGTTTCCGTCTCGACTCTGGATGATCGAGAGGAGCGACGCGAGACTCGCATTGCCCTTGGTAAGAGTCGTGAGCTGGGGCATGACGCCCTGCAGCGCCATGGACGCCATGAGGCATGCCCAGATGACGGTCAAGACCTCGGCGGCTGGCGCTTTGCCGTCCGCAACAATCTTGGCGCCGTACCAGCATCCGACGGCGTACATGGCGAACATGAGGAAGTCTGTCGCGCCGAGGGAGGTCGCCCACACGTACCCCTGCTTCACTAGACTGTCTCGCGCTCCCTCCACTTCCTTCTTGAATCGCGCGACCTCTAGATCCTGCGCATTCTGCGCCTTCACCGTTGCCACGGCACTCGTTGCACGCTCGACAGAGGTGGACGCCTCAGCGAAGCACCGCCGCTCCACGTGGTACATTGGCTCGACAATGTACTGTGTCCCGGCCCCCGTGACCAGCATGAGTGGTACGGCGCTCAGCGTGACAATGGTCAGCACGGGCTGCTTCACAAGTGCGAGCACGAGGCACGCGACGAACGTCGCAACCCCTCCGAGCGTGTTCCCCGATGATGAGCCGGTTGCAGCACGCACTTCGTCTGTCTCCCTGCATATGTCAGCCCCGCCACTCCTTCAACTGTTCCTTAAGCCAACATACCTTGCAAACTTGCCCATGAGGCCAGCCGCCCCCACCGCTCCCGTCTCATCCCGCTCGGCGGTTCCCATGCCGAGATCATACCACTCCATCGGTTTCTCCTGCACGCCGTCGAACACCATCCTCCTCAGCCTGTTGGCCGTGAGCTCTCCGTATGTTACCCAAAGTGCATTCTTGGCGTAGGTGAAGCCAATGTTTGCCAACGCAATGATGACGACCTTGAGGATCACCTCGCGCTCGGTCTTCATCATCTTGTCCTTGTCCTCCTGCGTGCGCTGGGAGAGCCAGAACATGGCCATCCCGTTGAACGCTGATCCCATGAGCGTCGTCATGTATGGCGCGACCATGGCGGCGGCTAGCGCAAAGATGGTGGCGGGAATGAGACACCAGAGGCGTTCCTTGACGCTGGCGACGGTGTAGAGGCGCACCCAGCTTGGTCGGAGAGGTGGGAGAGGCGGCTCCACCAGTGTTTCGTCGGTTACGGAGCTGCCTCCGCTACCCGAAGGCACGGGGGAGGGCTTCGGCGAGGCCCCTTTCGGCAGTGCGAGGTGGTCCTTGACGGACATGTGGGCATTTGTGGGCGTCGTCGGCTCCGCATCGAGAGGATACGCCTGAGCCGGGATGGGAATGGGGGCCGAGATGAGCACCTCCTCGCGTTCGGGGCGCGAATCTCTCTCGCGCAGGGTGGCCAGCACAGTATCGGTCATGCGGCGCAGACTCTCGACGCCGCCATTGCTGGCCTGGGACGTGTCGGACGCAGTCCGAGAGTGTCGGCTGCCGCGGACCATGTTGTTCAGGAACCGCGACGGTGCACTCTGCGATCGACCATGGCTCAGTGTTCGAGCTCGCGGAGGAGGTCGAGGGAGTGGGTCCTGGGCTGGCACGATGTCCCGCAACTCGGGCGTTCGCGTACCCTCCTGGTGGAACGAGGTGTGCTCTATCAGTGTCGGGAGTGAAATCTCAAGTTTGCGTTGGTGTGGGGGCATGTCGGATTACTTGACCTCTATCGCTTCGTCTCGAGGTCGTGCTACCGGAGGTAGATAGGAACTTCGGAGTGTCGTTCGTGATCGTCAGAGTGTCAACAAGGGGAACTGGTGGCAAGTGAGAATGGTCAGTCACTGAGATAGAGACGGAGGGACTACCTCCATGTCAACTGAGATCATCGCCGGGCATACGGTGTCCCGTCGCCATTGTCTCCCTCCTGCTGGTCTGCAAACATGGGAAGTCAGGCTGCCAGGCCGACGGCGAGCTGCGGCGCAGATGAGCGGTCTTGCAGGCTGTTGGCCCCATTGTTGAGAGTCGGGGTATGCGGAATGTCGACGATGGATAGTTGTTGGCTTTGTCCAGCCGAAACGGTGAACGGTGTCCATCGTCAGATCGCGGCGCATCACCTCGATCCGCCCCGCAGAAGAGTTCTTCCATCCATTCCACGTTCGACGAAAGAACAATCACGACTTTGATGGAGATGTCTCACAGTGAAACACGCCCAGTCAAAAAGTGACCCGGCTCGGTGCGCTCAGTCCTCCAAACGATGCTTCCAATGCTGCCATCTTCTGCGCTCGATGCGGAAAGGGTGTGGTGACGACTGAGACACTGATGGTGGCGAGCAAGACATGGCGGGGAGGGTTGTTATTGTGCCTCACGGTCACTACCAGTCCATTCAAGCGTCCAAAGCGTCCGAGGGTTCCGTGCAGAAGACACTCGGTCATGCGGTATGAGGCGTCGGCTGCTCAACCATCTCAGCGGGCTGTCGACCTCGGATGACTAGCCAAACAGCCATAAAAAACGAAGTGGAGCGCTTCAGAGGTCGAAAGCCAAAAATAGTGGTACATGGTTCCGGCCGCCGTAGCTGCCCATTAACCACTGGTAAGTGTCCTGTCGTCAGAGTGTGGGGCACGATGCTGTCCGAAAATTGCAGTGGTCGCAACTAACGCAGAGCGTTTCAAACCGGATGCGGAGGCGAATAAGGAATCTCGAGGTCTTGATTCCAATGTGTCGTCCATCGAATGCCGTCTGCGTCGCTCGTGGCCCCGGATCTCGTCTTGCAAAGAGTGACCTTGCTTGAGTATCAACCCCGCGGTTAGAGGACAATAGGCGAGAGAGAATGGAGCGATACCGCGCCCGCGGCTCCGGATCGCCGGCCGATTTGTGCGCCATGCCGGAAAATCGGGTCTTCCCACGGTGACATCCGTCCACCGCACGTGCTGCCCACTTTCCCACGATACACCCCCAATTCTCCCACCGCAGCGTACGGTGGGCTGGGCCAGGATGCGCGAGGCACCGGCGGCAGCGGGCCGGGCCCCCGGGCGCACCGGAGGAGCTGCCGGGCTTCTGCCGACAGATGCCGGTCTTTCGGCCCCCTTGTATGCCCAGGCGCCGACCCCGCGGAAGCGGGGTTTTGCGGTGGTGCGGGGTCTCGGCGTGATTTGCGAGAGAACCACACGCAAACGTTATATACAGAAGACAGTGGAGTAACTCTCGGTATCTCATCATATCTCTCCCAACATGGCTGGTACCGGCAAGATCAAGTCTTTTACTGTCCACGGTGGGTTCTAACTCCCCAGGTTGAGCTGACGGAGCAGATGTCCGATTCCCGACTGTGAGTTGAGATACCCCGAGGAGGTGGGAAAGCGGACGGTGGACTGACGGAGCAGAACGTCAATGGGGACGGCACCGACGCCATGAACAAGGAGTGCGACTACTCCGCCGCCTACGTCGTGCTTGAGACGGATACTGGTCTCCAGGGCCACGGCATGACCTTCAGTGAGTTGCAGTCCGCCGGCAATTCGGCATGGCATCACACGAGCACAGAACGGCACTGACGTTCAGCAATCGGCCGCGGCAACGACATCGTTTGCTACGCCGTCAAGGCGGTCGCCGAGCGCCTCGTCGGCCAGAGCGCCGAGGACTTCTTCGCGGACATGGGCGCGTTCTGGGAGTACCTCGTTTCGGACCCTCAGCACCGATGGCTGGGTCCCGAGAAGGGCGTTATTTCGCTCGCGACTGCGGCCGTCTCCAACGCCGTCTGGGACATGTACGCCAAGGCCCGCGGCAAGCCTCTTTGGAAGCTTATCTGCGACTTCTCCCCGGAGGAGTTTGTCCGTGCCACCTCGTTCCGCTACATCACCGACGCCATCACTCGCGAGGAGGCGCTCGCGCTCCTGAAGGAGAAGGAGGCGGGCAAGAAGGCGCGCGAGGCCGAGGTCATCGAGAAGGGATATCCTGCCTACACGACCTCGGTCGGCTGGCTGGGATACAGCGACGAGAAGGTCGAGCGGCTCACGAAGGAGGCGCTCGTGCAGGGCTTCTCGCACTTCAAGCTCAAGGTCGGAGCTGATGTCGAGGACGACCTGAGGCGTGGCCAGCTCATCCGCTCCATCATCGACAACCCCGCCAACATGACGCGCGAGATCGACCCCAAGACGACAGAGGGCAAGAACCCCGGCCCGACGGGATGCGTGCTCATGGTCGACGCGAACCAGGTCTGGGACGTCGAGCAGGCGATCGAGTACATGGAAAAGCTCTCGCCGCTGAAGCCGTGGTTCATCGAGGAGCCTACCGCTCCCGATGACGCGGTCGGCCACGCCGCGATCCGCAAGGGCCTCAAGCCCTTCGGTATCGGCGTCGCGACGGGCGAGCACGCCCACAACCGCATGACGTTCAAGCAGCTGCTCATGCTCGACGCCATCGACGTTGCCCAGATCGACTCGTGCCGCATGAGCGGCATCAACGAGATTCTCGCCGTCCTCCTCATGAGCGCCAAGAAGGGCGTGCCCGTGTGCCCGCATGCGGGTGGCGTTGGCCTCTGCGAGCTCGTCGTCCACCTCTCCCTCATCGACTTCATCTGCGTCAGCGGAACGATGGACAGGCAGGTCCTCGAGTGGGTCGACCACCTCCACAAGCAGTTCCAGTACCCCGTCTCCATCAACCAGAACGGACGGTACAACGTTCCCCTCGACCCGAGGGGTGGGTACAGCATCGAGATGAAGCCCGAGGCCATCAAGACCTTCTCGTACCCCAACGGACCGTACTGGGTTGCGGCGGCCAAGGGGGAGGCACCCATTGTTGACCTCGACTAGAGAAAGTAGTAGATCAGTAAGAAGTAGACAAGGTAACGGTAACGACTCTGCATGTAACAAAGCATATCTTCTCCTCAGTGGCTCGAGAGGTCGTGGTCTCTCCTCGCCGGGGTGGTGGCCGTGATCATGGCCCACCCCAAAGCCGTACCGCAACTGTGTGATACAGGTTACAGGATGTTCAGCCGTAGTGTACGCAAGACATAGTTACTTCCGAGTCCACCGATGAAGGGCCGGCATCTCCCAAGCGAGTTCGTAAAGATCGTCGTGCACCTCGTTCCTCCACTGGTCGACAGAGAGATATCGCATCTTCTCGTCCATGATGTCGTAAACAGGAGCGAAGTCGTCCCCGTCACATTCGCGATAATACACCTCGTCCTCCACGCTCTCCTCAAACTTGTGTCGAAACTCATCCCTCCTCTGATCAGGCAGATTGACGATCGTGACCCTCTTCGTGTCTTCGTACGAGAGGAACTCGGCGAGTTCCCTCGCAAGCTGGCGGTACCCGAACCGATCTTCCGAATCCACGTTGGGTTCGTCGCTGAGCTCTTGTCGTATGGCGTCATCCAACCGCTGGTCGAAGATCACGATGACTTCCCCACCGTCTCGTGGAGGGAGGCCGAACTCGTCGATCTCGAGCAGGCCTAGTTCGTACGGAACGGGTAGGATCACCGTATCCCCAATGACGGCACCGAAGGCGGCATACCGGAACTGGTCCATATTCATCTCCCGTGGTCGCGTGATCTGGCTGATGAGTACCGGCACGACGGGCGAGAACTGCAGTCGGTCGATGGTGCGGCCGATGAGCTGCTCGCTTTCCTGATCAAACACGCGAGCGACCTGGACGTTGTGGAACGCAATTTCCGGTCCCAGCAGGTCAATCGGCTGGTTCACTCCGCCCTCGCCCTTTCGCATGTCAAGCGCCATCACGCGCGCAGAGAGCTCGGGATCTCCAGCATACGGGAGGGAGACGTGCCCGACTGCAGTGTAGATACGCCGCGGACGCAGCACGATCACGACGTGTTCGCAGATCAGGTTGTCGACGTATTCCTTCAGCTCGTGGCACGTCGCGCGCAGAGCCGGCAGGTCCTCATCGGTCACTGCGGACAGTATGGACGCCCAGATGTGAGGAAAGTCTCGTCGTGGTATCGGCGAGGCCTCCATGTTACTGTGTGAGACGATTGAGAGAAGGAGTGAGTGGGTTGTTGCTAACAACCATCTTCGACCCAGTCCAGTCAACTTTGCGGCAGTGGTGCCTCTCGGACTGTTGATCCGCTGCATGCCGTCGGACGCGCAAGCAGGTGGTGCGCGGTCTTGGGCTGTACGCCGCGCCGTGCCTGTGATATCTGCGACACTCCGGGGTTGCTTTTCGTCGTTCGTTTCCGGCGGAAAGGTGCACATGCGAGCGCAAGGGGAGTGCGTCGACTGCGGGCGGGTTAGGATCCCTCCTCCCCTGGCTCTCCCCCTCCTTTCATGCATGTCCTCCCGCTGGCTCTTCGCTCATCGGTTGAGACTATGCACTGCCGCCCAGCTTGATCGCGCTCGCATCGCTATCTTTATCTGGGTGGGTCAACTCCTGATATCGCCACTTGTTGCCACATGGCTAGCCGATCCCTGAATCGCCACTGACCGATGTCGAGTGTTTCGGAATTCCTACGTCACTCACCGACACCGTCTTCCGAACGGATCAACGTTCAAGCTCGGCCCGTAGCGACGGCCTCCTTGCAACCACACATTTCACCATGCCCCTCGACACAAGTGCGACTGATCAACTCTCCGCACCGGACTCGCGCAACGATGGTGAGTAGCGATACTCTTAAGGGGAGGGCTGTGCGGAATCCGTCGCTCGTCGGTCGCCGAGTACTTGAGACGAGAGGGGCGGTGTCGTCGTCGGCCTTCGGCGTGTGCTGCCATTGGCGACATGGTCGTGAATCATGAGGTCCGCATGGACATCGGCTGAAGACGAGCGAGCAGGGCAGGCGGAGGAAGGGAGGTAGAAGAGGAGAGCAAGGCAGACGGAGGAAGGCGGAGAAGGTGCTGCTTTTCGACGATGCGGGAATGGAGAAGTGAGGGAGCAAGAGGATCACCAGCTTCTTGGTAGATGAATTCGAGCTGATAAGCAGTACCTGCCGAGGACCCTGTCCCTCTCCTCGATGCCGCCGACGGAACGACGAAGCCTGAACCGAAGCTCAAGAGCCGCGAGGACCTTCGACGTCTGAACCGCCGCGCGACCCAGGACGGCATGTACGGCGGCATGCTGGGTGGAGGTGCTCTCAGTATGTGTTTAAACCTCGAGCTCGCCGGCCGCCGACAACGAGCTGACAGCAGCCTTGCTCGCCCACCGTTTTGGCATGCCCAAGAACGGCCTCGTCATCACTTTCCTGCGTAAGCTGTACCGTGGACTTTCGCCAACTAACCCCAGTCTCGTCAACGGGCATCTCCTTCCTCACCACACGGCACATGATCCGCTCAGCACTGGGTGAGCATTACGACTATATCCAGTCCCGGCAAGAAGCGACTGGTGGCATGCGCGATCGTGCAGACGGTGACTCGCCTCTTGCGCCAGTTTCGCCGCTCGCGCCCGTTGATGCTGAGGCCGAGCGCCGGCGCAAACTCGCCGAGGAGCTTAGTAACCTTGGCAAGCCGCGGCCACGGACCATGTTCACGAAGGGCAAGGGACTCGAGGGCGAGGTCGAGGAGCAGCAGGAGATGGTCGACCCGTACCTCCGCTCTGGAGTGCCGCGGCGCGAGATCTAAGGGGTATGTAGGATGGAAAGAAGGTCATTGTATGCATACATTCTAAGGCTTATGTGAAAGATTGTGCTGATAGCGGGGCTGGTGTCAGCTTCGAAGGGTGGCATCCCAGCTCACCAGGGGATTACACCTGTGTCCGATCAGAGGAGGCGTCGTCCTCGTCGTGCTCCTCTCCCTCGTCCGGGTGACTCGGCTCGTCCGCCTCGGCGGTGCCCTCGGAGCCCTCCTCTTCTTCCTCAATCCTGTCGTGGTTGAACTCGGGCTCCGGACTCTTGAGCACCTGTCCCGTGAGGTCATCTCTTCTCTCCCCAGGGCTGGCGGGCGAGACAGACAGGTCCCTCGCTGACGCCGAGTTCATGACGCTCTCGACGCTGGCACCAGCGAGCGAGTCGGTGCGCACGGCATCGATTCTGTCCCTGTGCTCCTTGTCGTTCCCGTCTGTGATCGACAACCGGGCGACCTTCTCGTCGAGCGAGGGCTGCCAGACCAGCGAGGCGATGGAGGCGCTTCGGCTCGCGGGATGTGGGCTCCAAACGAGAGAGGCTGATCGTGATTTAGGATACAGCGAGGAAGGACGCCGAGATGATGCTCTCGACGCCGCACCGCTCGCCCACCCCGGCCCGGTCACCGGTCCTGGCGCCGGCGCATCAGGTGACGAGAGCATGAGTAACAAATTCTTGAGATTGGGCAGCGTCTGCCGCAAGTCGAGCATGCGCAAATCCCACTCGTGCATGAGCTGGTGTCAGCTTGAACCAAGCAGCGAGCTGCAGCTGGGATGTCAGTTTGTACTTACGAGCTCAATGTCCTTGTTCAGCAGGAACACGGCGTATTCGTATCTATACCGTTCCACGTTCTTGCCGTACAGTGGGAATCTGGTGTCAGTTCGAAGGGTGCCAGGCGAACTTACGACCTCGGACCCTGCATGACGCTGACGACATCGCGGACGTGTGACCGCGAGCCACCGTAGGTGACGGGATATGCCAGTCCGGCGGCAGGACCGCCCAGGTTGCTGATGAGCTGGACAAGGAGCGCAGCATAGCCTAGTGCTGCGCTGGTTGTTCGCTCGTCTATCCGAGGGCATCCCTCGGGCGTCTGGGCCGGCGGAAGAGACAACGGTGGTGCCGGATCCTTCGCCCCCAACGGGACCGGCAGTGGTACACCCAAGATGGAATAGATCAGCGTACCCGCATCCACGGGCTCGATGGGGAAGAGTTGGTCGAGGGCTTGGGCGTGCTGAGCCCGCTTGGCGTGGATTGCTGGTAGAATCTCGGTACGTTTCGCCTCAACCTCGGCGATCTCGTTGGCAAGCTCGCTCGCTTGACCCCGCGTGATCTCTGTCCGCTCAATGGCGGCGTCGAGGAGCGCTCTCCGAGCACTGAGGCGGGAGCGATGCAACGTATTCCGTGCCCGTGCCTCTTCTGTGCTGTGGTCCACCTCGGCGACGCGGTCGCGCACCCACTTCGTTTTGAGCGCGAGTTCGCTCATGTCCCTTCGCAGAGTCGAGCGGTCCGCGTCCGCCTGCAGCAGCGCATCGATCTGGCCCTGCAACTCCGCAATCTGGCGCTGCGTCTCAGCAATGGCGGATTGAATAGACACAAGTCTGGTTGTCAGCTCAACTGCAAAGTCCCAAAAGCTCACTGATGCAACGCCCCTGCATTTGCTCCCTTCTTCATGCGGGTCTCGCGAAGGCTCCGCTCGACGACACCCTTCATCAAGTCCCGCTTCGGCGGCTCGGTCCCCGGCGGCGGGAGACAGAACTTCATCCTGGGATGCGTCGACAACGTGAGCTCGATCGTATTCGGCGGCAGCGGCGTATCGGCAGGCACAGGCACGAGCTGCGTTAGGTCAACGAGGCCGCCAGCACCTCGCAGTCGACGCCAGCGTCCCCTTTCCTCAACCCAGACCCCTATGTCGACTGAGGTGCCCGCTCTCTCCGTCCCGGTCAGCCAGGGGGCGAAGTCACCCTCGGGGTCTAAGTTACGAAAGCGCGGGTTCGTGGACGGCGAGTGAATCGGAGAAAAGAAGAAAGGTACCGGTGCCGGTCGTCCGGACTGCGGCGCGAGACCCATCGTCGACCTCCGTGCTGCCACCGGTCTCCGTGCTGGGCTCGAAGAGCCCGACGCCGTCCCGCCCTTCTTCTCCTTCTTCGGCTGGTCGGCGCGCGTTTCCCGGTCCTCAGGCATGGGCGGGAGAGACGTCGTGCGGCTTCTCGTGACGGCCGGTCGCTTCAAGTTCGGCGACCCCGGGGACAAGTGTGCTGGTGGGTTCTTATCCCCATTGGTTATTGCCTCCGGTACTGTCATCGTTATGAAGCACTTGGCGAGCGGTCGTGCAGGCACCTCCTCCGGTTCCGGGCTGCCGGCTGGTCCAACTTGGATGTGCGGGTGCTTCCCCTCTCCGGCCAGCGTCGGGGCACGGGCTCGCGCGACTGGCCTATCATGGGCCGATATCGAGCTCGCTCTCCGCGCCCGCGGCGACGAAAGGAAGCCCGACGACTTGGCGGGGCTCGGCACCTCGAGTGTGAGCTCGTGCACGCCGACCCCTGAGATGTGTCGGATGCGCGGCTGCCGTTAGCTAAAGGGGGTGCAAGAAGAGCTCACCTCCCATGCTGGGTGCGCCGATTCGGCGTCGTCCATGGGCGTCGGAGTTAGAGGTTGGTCGCGGCTAAGCTTGCGAGGATGCCGTTGTAATTATGGTGAGCTTGGTTAGCGATGGTCATCAACGTCACAGCTCGAGATGGCGAGACTTATCTCGACCCTCCAGTTAAGCTGATCGAAACATGATCATCGTCGCTTCTCTATGCACGGGTGGCGTAGCGTTATCGAGCTTGGTGGTATCATCAGAATAACTTCAGTGTATGGCTGGGTAGCACTGCAGAAGTATGCATGTTGTCGTGGGCGGCGCAAGAGCAGGCGACGCCGAGATCTTATCTTTACGAGGGGTCACCGACGGGTCAGGGAATTACCGAGGATGACCCGGTGACCTGGGCCGGAGGGCGGTGTGCTAGAGTCCGATCCGTCTCGCCATCTCCCTCATTGTGAAGCCTCCTTCGCTGAGAACGCCTTCCTCCTTGCTCCTCAAGTCATCAAACCAGTAACAGCAAGGAACAGCCCCACTTCTTTCCTTCCTTTGACGGTGAGTACGCGGAAAGGAGGCCGCGTCAGCTCACGTGACGCGGCTTCGGCCGGCCTCGATCGCCGCCGGCCCCGGGCGGCCAACGCGTTGCTTACAATGCTGACTTGATCTTTCCAGAAACCCTATCCTCATCCTGATTGTATGCGCGACTGGGCCCCGTCTGCCTTTTATATCTCTTTCCTCGTCATCACGACCCCGCACGAATAACGACCCCACGGCCAGGCCGACGGCGACGCCACTGACTCAGCCGCTAGAAGGTACCAGACGAGCCAGATCACGAGCCAGACAAGCGCCTTGCGCGCCTCGATCAACTGCCCGCGGTCGAGCAATACCCCATCGCACCCCATCACAGGCAGCTCAGCAGTTTGAACTGGCCTTGTCCTGTCTTCAACTCGTCACCTCAGTGCCGCGATGAGCAATGACCCGGCCCGGCCGCGGGGCATGCCGATCCGTAAGCTGAATGTGGAGGTCCGAGCGCTGACCCCAGTCTCCGGACCGCCGCCAGTGGTCGTCGGAAGTTGTATGTCCAACAGCTCGCAGACCCTCGAGCCTAGCTGACAGCAGCGTGCCGGAAATGCGCCAAAGAGTTCAACGCGCTCTGGCGCCGCGGCCATGCGTGTGGCCATTGCGGACATGAGTTCTGCTCCGGCTGTCTCGAGGGACAGGCGCTGATGCCGCGCCGAAATCGGAGTAGCCAGGGACCGCTGGCAGAGATCCGGGGAGCACTTGGCCGACAGCCCCAGAGCACGGGGTACGATGTGGAGAATGTGTGCGCGTACTGTCTGTCCATGTTGCAGGGTGAGTGAGGTCGAGCGCAGGGCTATTCCGCACCGCCCTGCTACCTCTAGCTGAGTGGAGGGAAGGCAGCGGAAGCTGGACGTAACCCTCATCAGCTAACCCCAGTCACCGCCGCGCCTGTCCAAACCCTCCGCACGCTCCCGCTGAAGCGGCTGAAGGACTATCTGGCAGCCTACGACATCCCCGCAGTAGGCGTGAAGGAGAAGGAAGACCTCGTCGAGGCGGCCGTGAGGGCGCGAAACCCCTCAACGGGCACGTTGACACCAGCGCACGAGTCGTACTTCCGCCGCAAGTCGGTGCCGGGCGCACGTCGGCGGGCTCCGCCCTCCTCCTCTGGTCCAAGTAATAACACCACGGGGACGAACACGACATCGTCATCGACGCCGCCCTGGGCCGGCCGCATTCCCCGGCCAAGCCACCTCGGTCCGGGATCGCACCGGTATTTTCAGCGGCCGCTGTCGCCTGCTGAACTGCAGGAGTACAGGCAATGGTATCAGGAGCAGTACGGGCGTCCTTCGCCACCGTCTGATTCGCAACCTCAGCCTCAGCCTCAGCCTCAGCCCCAGCCGCAGGCCCGACCTCCGCCGCCACGACCGCAACCACAACCCCAGCCGCAGCCGCAAGCCCGGCCGCAAGCCCGTCCCCAAGCCCGTCCCCAAACCCAACAGCAGGCGCCGAAACCGACGCCCAAGCCGACACCGAAATCGCCTCCACCCCCAGTGCCAACGCTCATGAGTCTTGTCCCGCTGCCGCGAAGCTACCTCAGTTCTCTAAGTATAGGCACGCTGAAAGCGATTCTGTACGAGAACCACGTACACGTGGATTTCTCGCAGGTTCTCGAGAAGTCCGAGCTCGTGGCACGCGTGGCCGAACTCGTCGAGGACGAGCGGAAGAGACTCGAGCGCCAGAGGTGGGAGGAGGAGAGGGAGGAGCGCGCTGAGCGGCTGGTGCGCGGCGAGATGTCCCCTGGCCCCAGCGGTCTGGACGGGGACCTGATCGACCTGATGGGAGACGCAGAGCCTATCGATATTCCCGCCGCTGGAGACGGTGTACGGAGCGATAACGGGAGCGGGAGCGAACCCCGTGGTGCGCGATCACCCAGGTCGCCGCCCACCGGCCCCCAAGCTGAGGATCGCGGGTTGTGTGTCGTGTGTCAGGACGAGGAGGCGACGCTCGCCGTTGTGGATTGTGGCCATCTGGCCATGTGTGCGCGTAAGTGTTCCCCTTTCTCTCGTTCCCCAGCTGTGCTCTCGGCGGTGTGTTAGCTGACTCCAGACTGCTCCGACCTCGTCATGGCGACGACGAAGGCTTGTCCCATGTGTCGGACGAGGATTGTGACGCCGCAACGGCTTATCAGGATTTACCGGGTGTAGAGTAGGAAGAGCGCGTTGAAGAGAGCGGAGGGATAGGCAGAAGCACAGAAGACAGGATGATTGCACACATAGACTAGGCAGGTTACACTATTACACAGGGTACATTCTCACAGTTACAACAGATGCACACTCCTTGCACATTACGTCGTTGAGTCTATAATCGTACTTTGTCTGGAAAGACGTTGATAGAGCGCGCTCCTCGCTCGCCCCTCCCGCTTACCACGGCCGATCCCGCGCCTCCATCGTATCCGGGCTCTGCACGGGCATTCCGCCCAGTAACCCCGGCACACTTCCACTGCGTCTCGGCAGTCCGGGGATCTTCCTCGGCGAGCCCCGCTGCCCTCCCCCAGGCATGCCACTCACGCCGCCCGCGGTGGCGGGTGCGCTACCCAGTTCGTCCTGAGTCCAGAGCCTATCTTTGCCCCTCTCGCGGCGCTCTTGGCGTTCTGAGGGGTCAACGAGCCCGCCGAGTCCGCCGGGTCCCTTCTCCCCGACCAGGATCGCGCGCTCGCCCCCGACCAACCCGCCCGGACCGATCGCGCCGGGGCCAATCGTGCCGGGCGTCAGCGTGCGGGCCGTCTTGGGTGCGATGCCGGGCGGCGCGGCGGTGCCGGGCCGAGCGATTGTGACGTACGGCGGGTGCGTGGGTGATAAGGCTGGAGACTGGTCGTCCGTTAAGTCGGTCCGGATCGCGAGCTTGCGGGGTGGTTGGTGGGAGCGGGATTGGAAGAGCGGCACGAAGCCGTTCTCCTCCCTGTCTTCGGGGTGGGGGTGCGTCGGTGCCGCCGGCGGTGTGGGGGACGGTTTTGAGCGGAAGACGAGCGACGGCGTACCGAGAGAATGGTACGTCTTGAGAGCGACTGAGAGTTCGCCGAGCTGGGGTTAGCTCCGAAAGGCTTTCTAAGCTGGACGATTGCTGCACTCACCCTCGCCATGATGTCCTCCACGCCCTTGGCTCTCTTCTCGAGCTCCCTTGCGCTCTCATCACCATTATCCTCCTTCTCCCCGTCCTTCTCTCCCTTCTCCCCTTTCTTGTCCCCCTTCGAGTCCTTCGAATCTTTGCTGTCCTTGCTGTCGCGGCTCTCCTTCCCGCTTCGCCACCCCTCGAGCGCCAGGTGCCGCTTGCCAATCTCCTCCTGCGCCTGCAGCACTGCCTCGATCTGGCTGCCGAGCGCGCGAGTGACTCTTGTTCCGCTCGGCTCCAGAGCGCCGTCGAGCATGGAGGAGACGGGCCGACTTTCCTCCACCTCGTGCTGTTCTGGTGAGGGAGCCAGCGGCGGGAGCGCCTGGGCCTGCGCGCCTAGGCCGAGGGCGGGCGAGGACTGGGAGCGTTCCGGCGCAGGACGCACAAAGTTGGCGACGATGTGGTCGTGCGCTGAAGGCGGGGGACCATTGGCGACGATGAGCGGCGGGTGAGACTGAGTCTGCGTTGTTGACATGTTGGCTGGTAGAGCAGGCTCAGGGAGCTTGATCGATTTCGATTTGTCCTCGGTGTCCTTTTCCTTATCTTTCGTATTCGTCTCGTTGGCCTCGGCGTTCGTGTCGTTCTGTTCTTTCGATGTGTCTGGCGGTGGTGGTGGTTGTGAAGCACGTTTGGAGCGAGTAGGCGACGGCGGCTCGTCCTCGATGACCGAATCCCTGTTGCCTGGGCGCAGGCCCGCGGCGTGCAGGAACCGGAACCAAGTGGCGCCAGCCTGGCCGCCTGCGAATGACGAGTTCCGCCGGCGGGACTTGACGCTCTTGTCGTCCGTCTCGCTCATTGCTGATGGAGTCGTTGGAGACACTGGCGAAGTCGGACTGATGGGCGAGGAAGGTGGAGGAGGATGTGCAGTGGACGACTTGCGGCGCCAGAACCCCCATCCGCCCCCGGGTGCAACTGAGCTGCGCCGCCGGTTGGGACTCGGGTACCCCTGCGTTACCGGTTCTGGTAAATCCGAACTCATCGTGACTAGCTAGTCTCTCCGCTCTCTTCTTTGCGGGATGGATGGTGATGGCGACGAGGAGACGAGTGATGGAGAGGAAGGAGGATGGGACGAGGACAGATGCGCAGAAGGTGCAGCGCGGTATGAGGAAGCAGGCGGCGCACACGGCTCCGAAGACCAGATCCGTTGCTTCGACGCTTGCGCCCCCAGGTCAACTCACAGCTTTCATGCACTAAGGGGAAGGCTGAATGCATACGTTGGTCTCTTCATCCAGCAGGGAGTGCTTATCGTCTCTTGGGGCCAAGCTCAGTCGGTGCTGCGGCGGCGCAGACGTTGCTGCGGCAATCACGTTGCTGGTCTTGGCTGAAGAGGGAAGGACCGGCTGATGAGGGCCCAAAACAAACAGCAGTGGGGTGGCGACATCACGGGAACGGCTATCAGACGGTCAGGAATAGCATCGACATGTATATACCCCACAAAGGCCCACAAGGTCATTCACCCGGCAACTGAACGCCGACTAACTGCAACATGCAGAAAGGCGCGATCTCGTAACATGTCATATGTAATGTTGCTAGCATGGTTGGGGACGCACGCAAACGTCACGGGAAGTCACAGGCGAGTTTCAGCGGCTGCCGTCGTCTCACACTTCTCATTCGTTCTCAAACCGTCCCCAACGCCAGACACAGTTCGGCAGGCCTCTACGCCTCCTAACGGCCCGAAGTCTTGCTCAATTGCAGCAGGTTGACGCCAGGTGAGAATCGAAGCTTGCAAGGGTCGGCCCGGTCCGTGCGTGCAAGGGATATCATGTCGGCTTTGCTCCATTCCTCCTGCTCTCCGATACCCTTTCTTTCTGTTGCCCGAAGAGGATACTCACCCAGCTCTAACCTGCATCGAACAACCTTGCGGGCGCGAGGACGTGTGGAAGAATCGAGGATGGGAGGATGGAAGATGAGGGCGTGAAGGCTATGTGCATCACTGTGTGTGTGGAGGAAGGCGAGACAGCTGACTGGATCTGTGGGGCGGTGACCGATCGCGTCAAGACTCAATCACACCTGCACGGAGCGTTGGAAGCGGTGAGTGGACGATGAAGGGACGGCTGTGCGTGTGTGCGTTTATTGTTCTCTCGCACTGTTCGGCGTTGCCCACGTCGCTTCGGCCGCGTCCAGGTTGCGCGGGGTCGATCATGCCTCCGCGCACGGTACGCACGGCCCGACCACGCCTTCCGCAGGCGTCAGCGCCCGCCGCGGGCCTGCCCAGCTCGTGGGGTGTGGGTGAAACGTTGCCCGCCACGCCTAACCTGATGGGCCTGACGCCCCCAGTGGCGAGCCGGCGGATCACTTCCCGAGTGGGATGTGTGATGGACTCTGGGGGGCGAGTGTCACTTTGCCTTCACCTTCCAATCACTCATCCGACACCTCAATCTGCCTTCACCACTCAATCATCCCGTTCTCTCACTGACAGCATCTGATTGCTCACTGACACCATACTGACAGCGAGACTGAAGCACTGACAGAACATATAAACCGCCCCCTTCTTCTTCCTGACAGCGCACAACCATCCTTCCCTCTTCCCTGCTTCCCCATCCCTAACACCCGACCCGAACACCCTTGCTCAGCACTGATCCGTCGCTCAGACCCTTTCCTCGTCGCCACCGACTTGCCGAAAACAAACACGCTCCCTCTGCCTCGACACCAACTTTTTCATCTCCCACCTCATCTTTGAACAACTCGTCAAACGTGAGTCTGCCATCAGCTTTGAAAAGGAACGTTCCGAGCTGACCTCAGATGCCGGTCGCGCGCATCTGCTCCAACAAGGAGAACTCCTTCTGCCGGCCCGCTGCTGCTATCCGCGCTAAGGCGGCCAAGGTCAAGGCCAAGGCTGGCCTCGCTGCTGGTCTCGGACTCGGCCTTCCCTCGCGCCGCCACAAGCGGAGCACCTCGATCCAGCGCGCCAAGGCTGCTAACAGCAAGCCGAAGGCGAACGCGAAGCTCCAGTCTTCGAACGCTTCGCACGCTGCTCCCAAGTCCTCGGAGGGATACATCAAGCTGCCACTCAACCTCTCGCGCCCGGCTCTGCCCCAGGTCGCCGAGCTCGAGCTCGAGGGAGACCTCGTTGTGAGTGACACTTACATCGCTTTATAGCCCGCTTCAATCAGGTGGTTAGCTGACTCCAGCCCTCGACCTTTGTCGTCGACAAACTTCAGCCCATCCTCTCCGGCATGCTCCTCGCCGCGGCCCTCTTCCAGCCGTACCCCGGTGCCTCCAAGTCTCGCACTGAGGGACGTCGCAGCTTCGCCTTCGGTCTCCCTCGCTCCGTCTCGCACCTGAACGTCTCGGGACTCGAGCCCGACCTCTGCCTCGCGCTGCACCGTCCCGGATCGACAGAGGCGCTTCAGATCTTCCCCACTCAGTAAGTCGCAGTGCCACCAGGCAATGCAGCTTTCGGTCAGTAACTCGCAGCTAACATCAGCCGCCTCGTCTACGCCTCGCAGTGCGCGTACTTCCCTTCCCTCCCTCTCTCCTACCCCGGCGACGAGGAGGACCACGGCCTGGAGACCATTCCTGAGGACGACGCTTCGGTCTGCTCTTCCGCTCCCTCTTCCGACGCTTCCGACGCCTCCGGCGCCGAGAGCGACGACGACTCCGCCTCCGAGGCCAGCGCCGACCTCCACGCCCCGTCCTACCTGCACCTCCCCGTGCTCGGTCTCGAGGTTCCCTCCCCCGAGACCTGGGAGCTGGTCCACGTGCGCCTGCACTCGTCTGACGAGTACTGCTGGCAGAAGCAGTTGCTCGGCCTCCCTGCCGCCGACACTCCCGCTGCTGCTCGCAAGGCGCTGTCTGGGCTCGAGGCCGGGGAGCTGTTCCAGGTCATGCGCCGAGTCCATGGCGCTTGGCAGAACTGCTGTGCTATCGGCGTCACGAACGAGAAGGTCTGGGAGCAGCTCGGGAGCGCGTGGGCCGTCGTGATCGACGTGATCAAGGCGCGGGCTACGGTGTAGGAGCGACGCCAACCCGGCCCAGTACCATCAAAGTTCAAAGTTACTCCCATCTCATCGGATCGCAGCTCACCTCACGAGTCTCGTCGATCACAAGGTTTTCTGAGCGAAGGACTGCGGCCGAGATGGCGCGGAAAACGAAAGTCGATCAAGTAAGCACAATGGCGTGCTTTATACCCCTGGCTGGTTAGTAAGCTTGTAGAGTATCAGTTGTAGCGACCCAAATCACAGTAGTCCCCCATGTATTGCGTCTCGTCTCCGATCGCGGCCTTGCATGGTGCAAGCAAACAAGTTCCGAGGTGGAAAGTTCCCGCTGATAAAAGTGGTCAGCACCGTGAGATGCCGCTGTCCAACCAGGGTCAGCCGGCCAGAGCCGAAAGGCACGGTGTGCGGACCGGCGTGTCGGGTCGGAAGCTGGGTGGAAGCAGGGTGCTGAGTAAGGCAGGCGAGACCTCCACCGATTGCATCACCGGAACCACATATGAGAACGGGGCAGCATGCTCGCGACTGGAGGTGCATATGTGAGCACCAACTCTGTATCATGCTCCGTCGCTCCATCCCTCTTCTTGCTCGTTCTGTCCGGACTCACATTCCGACTGCTACCACATACATCCGCACTATGAGCTCTGCCGTTCCCAAGACTATGAAGGCTGTCCAGGTGAGTTGCTTGGTGGGCGAGGAGGTGCGATGAAGGCAAAGTATGGCCGGCCGCGTCGGCCGGTGCATCGGTGTGCACTGGACATAGTCTTGCCAGCTGGGTTGGCCCGCGTCACCAAGGCTGCGAGGGGTTGAGAGCGGTTGTCGAGCTCGCAGGATTGTAGAAGGCAGGCGGTCCTTTCGGCTGGTCTGTCTCAAAGGCATCCTAGCCTCAGGCAGCCATCACTAGATATAGATCGGCAGATCGTCGTCTCCTGCCAGCCCAGATCGCTTCCTTCCTTCTTGACCTGCCTTCTCCCCCTTCTAGCCTGTCCCCACTGATTCTTGTGAGCTTTTGCTAATGTCCAGGTCGAGGAGACCGGTGGCCCCGAGAAGAATGTGATGCGCGAGGTCCCCGTCCCGCAGCCGAAGGAGGGCGAGGTCCTGCTCAAGGTCGAGTGGACGGGAGCCAACTACATTGACAACTGTGAGTGGGCTGAGGCTGCTGCTGCTTTCAAGAATCTTGTGACCCGCATGAAGTCTACCAGAGCAGGCCCTCCATCAGCCAGCTATTCACTGTTCGTCGAAGCTGACGCCAGACCGCCGCTCCGGGCTGTACAAGCTCAACCTCCCCTTCACGCAGGGCCAGGACGTGGTGGGCACCGTCGCCTCCGAGCCCTCTCCCAATCCCAACGGGCTCAAAGTGGGCGAGCGGGTGTGGGCGCCCGCCGGCGCCTCGTTCGCCGAGTACACGGTCGCGAACGTGAACCAGGTTGTGCCGATGCCCGAGGGTGTGGACCCGAAGGATGGCGTGTCGATGTGCACCGTTGCGCTGACTGCTGTGACGCTGGTGCGCGAGGCGTACGCGGTGAAGAAGGGCGACTGGGTGCTGGTGCGCGCCGCGGCGGGCGGCGTCGGTCTCGTCCTGGTGCAGCTGTGCAAGCACCTGGGCGCGCACGTCATCGCGACAGTGTCGACGGACGAGAAGGCGCAGCTTGCGCGCGAGAACGGCGCCGACGAGGTCCTCCTCTCCACGGCCGACAGCGCCGAGAACGTGAAGAAGATCAACGATCTCAGCAATGGCGGCGTCAACGTCGTCTACGACGGCGTGGGCAAGGACACGTGGGACGAGGACTTTGAAGTCACCCGCGTCGGCGGCACAATTGTCACGTTTGGCAATGCCTCCGGACCCGTCCCCGCCTTCTCGCCCCTCAAGCTCAGCCCCAAGTGTCTCAAGGTCACGCGCCCGACGCTGTTCCCCTTCATCGCGAGGCCGGAGGACTTTAAGCGCCATGCCGACGAGGTGTCCCAGCTCGCCAAGGACGGTGTCCTCAAGTTCAAGGTCCACAAGGTCTACCCCTTCACGGAGGAGGGCGTGCGCCAGACCCAGATCGACATCTCGGGCCGCGGCACGACGGGCAAGCTCCTCATCCACGTCAGCGGGGATGACTCGAAGCTCTGAGCTGTAAATCAGTAGTAGTAGTAATAACATATGCAGAAATACGCGATGCGTGACTAGGATACATCATTATACTGAGTCTACTCCTCGGGCTCGGGCTCAGACTTGGCCTCCTCGGCGCCCTCCAGGCCCGTGGCGCCAGCGGCGCTCGCGCTTCGACTCGCTCTCGCGCTGCCCCTACTCTGCCGACTGCGGCTGCTGCGCTTACTGACCGGCGGCGTGGCCGCCGACGCACTCTTGCCCGCACGGGTCGAGTTAGACGTAGCGCGTCCCTTCGCTTTCGCCAGCGGCGGCGCCTTGCCCTTCTTAGCGGGCGCCTTGGAGCGGGCCGTGACCTTGAATTTAGCGGGAAGAGGGCCGCTCGACGGCGGCTTCTGCACCGTGAACTCCTCGCTCGAGGTTGAGGGCGGGACGACCTCCTGGCCCCTAAATGTGGGCGGGTCGAGCATCACGTCCATGTCCGTCTCGTCCTTTTCCTCCTTTTCCTCCGTGGCCGTGGGCTCGTCTCGGCGCAGCGGCGGCTCAACGCGCATCGGCCGCGTAATGTCCAGGGGACGACAGCCGACGTACCAGCTCCCTGCCCCCCCTGGGGTGGTCGGAGGGGGTACGCCGCGCCGCGCAATGCAGAGGAACGCAAAGCCGTCGCTCTTTGCCTCTACTTCGAGCGTCTCAGCCCCCGTGCGCACCAGGACGACATCGCCGTGCTGCGCTGTCATGTCGCCGGCGCGCATCTTGCCCCGGCGCAGCTTGATGCACACGCTCGAGCCGAGGATGAGCAGGGCAGTCGTGCTGTTTGGCGGCAGGGGGAACTTCGGATGCACGACCACGCTGGGCGCCGGCGGCAAAGCGGCAACGAGCAAAGAGTTGAACTCCTCTGCGCCTGCGTAGACGCGGCCAGATCGCTCGTTCAGAATCTCCATGATGTCGAGCGTGACGCGGGGAGCTTTCGGCCACGGGATCGAGGGCGCGGAGGGGAAGTGTGCCAGGTCGGGAGCTGTGGCGCCCACGGCCAGGGTGTAGAAAGGCGACAGGGCGAGCAGGTCGGGTCGAGCTGACGTTGCAGGTAGCATGTGACGAGCAAGAGGCACCTCGTCCTCGCCCTGCAGCTGTAATCCCTCCAGTACAGCAGTCACGATCTTGTAACCCTCGGCCCCGTCCGAGTTGAGCAGGTGTGACGCCACAGTGCCGGCGCCAAATCCATCGAGTTTGTGCTGCACCAGCTTGACATGGTCTGGGAAGACGGTCGTCGTCGTCTCAGCCTGGAAGGGCCAGTCGGGGTTGCCAACGTCGGGGCGTGGCCCCGTGCAAGGCGTAGCGGTGCGCAGCGCCTCGGCGCCGTATATCCGCCGCTTCGGCATGTCCAGATGCGAGCACGCCTGGCACAGGAAACCAAACCAATCGTGTCGCTCGTTCGCCAGACGGCACCGCTTGCACACCCACGAGCGCCAGAAGTCGCGCCCAGCATCCCACCGCGTCACATCTGCGAATTGCTGCAGCGGGTCTGGCGGCATGAACGTCAGTCCGAGCTGCTCGGGCAATATGCGTGCCGCGGCGCGGATCAAGCCGGGATAGTTCTTAACGGAGAGTCCGGCAGCTGGAGAGTCAGTTAAACCGAGAAGAGAAAGGTAACTCACGAGGAGGTGTCACGGGGCATCCGACGTTAACGCATGCCTCGTTCAGGCAAATGTCCAGATCGCGGTACACGCGCTCCGAGTAGCGCTTGCAGCTGTCGCACTGCACAGGCTCAGGGTCCTTCGTGCCATCGGCAGCGGTGGTCGGTGGCCGCGGGTGCTGCGCGCCGCGCATCGTGGTCGAGCCATGCACATTGCGGCCCTTCACTGGCCATGCGGGCGTCGCATTGGTCGTCTCCTCATCAAACACGGGCGTCTCGACAGAGCGCTCCGGGTCGTCCTTGGCCGCCCACCACGGCTGCGGCTGCTCGCCAGTGCACCACTCGAAGCGGAAGACCCACCCGACAGCATCATCGGCCTCGACTGGCTCGACCCACGCCTCCACAATCCAGAACCAGCCGAGTGTCACCACCGCACGGGGAACCTTGAACGGTACCTCCGCGAAATCGTCCGCGACCGCCACCGCGACAGGTGTCTGCGCCCGCTGAGCCATGAGGAGGGCCTCAATGACTGGCGCCTCGGGGTTCTGGATCGGCGCGGACAGCATCGTAGGCTTGTCGATCCCGACTCCATTCGTGCCGTTGCTCAGGTGACGACCCTGATCCGCTGTCCGGGTCATGGCGTCGTTGTAAGCGTCCGAGATGTTGTCAGGCAGTGCGGTGACGCCGTCGTTACCGTCGTCAGCCGGGGCCACTGGCCTCAGTTGCCTTTTTCTCGGCACGCCACTGGATGTCAGCTTATCCCAAGCCAGGCCAACTCACATGGACGTAATAATGGTGCCGATGCGCTCGCCTGTGCCCCAGTACGTCCGCATTTCCAGCGGCGGTTGCCCCTCGAGGACGACACCTCGAGCTATCCCACTAGGGCCTATGGACACGCTGGCACCCGGGGTCGTTTGCGGTGCACGGAACGCCTCGACGGCCGAAGCGAGCGCCCTCCGCCTGTCCGCCCACACGGGCGCAAAGCCGCGCATGTCGTGCAGCTCGGGGCGCCCATTGTTCCGCTCCACGGCAGCAAAGTGCGCCGCGTCAGCCTTGGATGGCGGGACGTCTTCTGGCCGCGCGAACTCCATGTTTGCACCGGGTAGGCCGGTCTTCTGGACGCGCGCACGGGGTTTCCGGAAGCCCGTTCCGTCAAAGTTGAGCAAGCTGGGGTCGACCTCGTCTGATGCCGACAGACGACGCTTCTTCTTGACCCGCTTGCCGCGACCACCATCGACTGCCGCGGCAGCATCCGACTCGTCTTCCTCGCTGTCGCTGCTGGGCGGCGGCGCCTTGGCCTTCCCTTTTCCCTTATCGCTGCTGGAAAGGGCTCGCGCGATCATCTCCGGCTTGCGCGTGACGGGTGCAGTTGGCATCAGATGCCTGAGCTCCGCCTGGTTGCACTCCGCTCCACTGTCCCGACATCTGGCACAGGGGTAGGACCGATCACAGTGCTGAGCTGCCTTCATGCAAGCAGCACATGCGCCGGGGATGAAGAACACGACTTCTCCTGGATGTCAGCTTTGCCGTCGAGAGATAGCTTACCTGTGGATGGGGCGACCTTCATCCACACTGTGGAGGGGTCCACACGCGAATCGAGCTCCGCAGGCAGATACCGCGGCTGCTCCAACAATCCCAGCACCGGGTCTGTTCGTGTCCGCCCCGGCGTCCACGTCCTGTTCGGGATGATCTGCGGAGGGTACACCGCATCATGCATGGACGAGCCCGCTCCGTTCTGAGCACTGCTGGTCCCAGCTATTCCTGATGCGGGGAAGGATGGACTAGGAGCATCAGCATCGGCGTTCGGTGGTTGAACCCACGGCTGTAATGAGCTGGCCACAGGTGGCGGCGCGATAGACGACGGCGGCGGCAGAGGCTGGCCGAGATGAGGGCGGGGAGGAGGTGCGGCTCCATTTTGCCTCTCGGGATGGGAGTGGATCCTGTTGGCTTCCATGGTGAAGGATCTTGCTGCCACGGAACAGCCGTCGCGATTGTTTCGATTCTTCCCCTTGGATCAATATTAGGTCAAACTCTAACAGCCACTTTGGATGTCCCGTTGCCGACGCTGGGGCTTTACGACTTGGGCGCCTGGCGAACTGAGATGATGCTATTGATCGCCAGTTGAACGCCGCAAGCAGTCGTGTCGGTTGTGATGAGAGATCTGTCGACGGTGGTGGTTGTTGTCGAGTTGACTCACAGGAGTCTTTGCAACATTACAGCCTCGTGCTCGCCCAGTGCAGACTGTGATCACAATCTCGGACGGAATCAAAATGGCCCGTCGACCGGTGGCTCACGGCGCGTCTCAATCGGCGGCGTCCAGGATCGAAAGCTGAAGCCAGGCACGCCCAGGCTTTGTATTCAGCAGGGATGATGGCATCCTCCACCCGTTGACGACACTCTCGCCGCAGACTAGTAGAGACGCTCCTGACCGCCTTCCCTCAACCTGCGTAACGGTCTTCCTTCTACCCAATCTCTCATCCCTCTTCACCGCCTTCGCTTGCCCTATCACCATCTCTACTCACCATGCTGAGCAGAATCAGAAATCAGTTCAGCAGCCAGTGTCACGACGACTACGAGCCAGTACAGTCGGACGATGGCCCCAACCTGCCGCCACTCGAAATACACAGGCAACGGCCACAGCGTGGCGAAATGCAGAGCCGCAGCGGTGGTCTCGTAGTCGCCTGCTTCTGGGCTCTTGGAGCGGGCATCCTCCTCAGCTGGAACGGTGCGTGCTTTTGCTGACAGCGAGCTGACCAGCAGCTCTGATCTGCACGTATCCCCTCTTCACCTCGTTCTTCCTCTTCGGTCCGACGAGATCAAACCTCGCAAGTTACCTCAGCACCGTCTACTGCTTTAGTAACCTGCTCTTCCTCGGCATCGCCCAGCGGAATGCCGGAAAGGTGAGCTCTCCTGCATACTGACTTGTTGCTGACCTAAAGACGGCACCGACGAAACGGCTGCGATGGTCACTGATCCTGATGCTTGCGACCATGATCGTGATGGTCTTCCCTCTGCTGTCCAACATCCTTCCCTCCATGTCGACCTCGGGCTCTCCGCTGCTGCTTCCGATGCTCCTGCTCATCGTGCTGGCGCTCTCCCTGTCCACATCGTACCTCCAATCAGCAGTGTTCGCTCTCGCTGCCCTCTGGGGCCCCAAGGAGACGTTAGCTGTCATGAGTGGCCAAGGAGGAGTCGCCTGCATTGTGTCGCTCGCCCAGGTCTTCCTCGCCATGGCCGAGTCCAAGAACGCTGGCATCCCAGAGAACGGGCATGGGTCCACGAAGGCCGCCCAGGCGCTCTGGTTCATCGGAGCCATCGGCACCATCGCTTGCATCGCTGCTCTCCGGTACCTCGTCAGCCACCCTGACTACGTGATCGTGCTGGCCCCTCTCGCGCAGCGAGAAGTCAGCGTCGATGTGACGAGCAAGGACATGACGAAGCGTGTGTTCGCTAAGAACATCACTCTCGAGTTTGCTGTCGCTTTCGTTTTCACCGTCACTCTGGTGAGCTCATGTGACGCATCAGCAGCTGACCACAGGCTATCTTCCCTCCCATTACAACGACGATCATGTCCGCGAGCCGCAACCCGCCATGGATTCTGCAGCCAGCCATCTTCATCGCGATTCACTTCTTCATCTTCAACTGTGGGTACAGGTAACTAAACTTTCTGCTGACCCGCAAGTCGGTGACTACGTCGGACGGACATTCATTCCCGGAATGCGCTGGGCCATGTCGCTCAGCACGAAGCAGATTGTCATCCTGTCTTGTCTGCGTGTCGTCTTCTTCCCGCTGTTCCTCCTTTGCAACACCCCGGCCCGAGCATACGAGCGCCTCTGGGTCTTCCCCGACGCTTTCTACTTCCTCATTCTGCTGGTCTTTGGCATCACCAATGGGTAAGTTTCGAGAGTTTCCATGAACTGACATCAGCGCCGTGGGCTCCATCTGCATGATCTTTGCTTCCTCACCCGAGCTCAACCCCGTCATTGGCGAGGAGGAAAAGGATCTGGCAGGCACTCTTGCCGCCTTTTCTCTCGTCGCCGGTCTCGCGTTAGGGAGCCTGTGTTCATTCGCTGTCAACTACGCCATCAACGGCAACCCCTTCGGCGGCTAGACAGATGTCCGTCCCGCTGGAACACTAGGATCATTGATATATCTGTACATGATGCCCATAATGCCTACAGTGTATGCTATTGTAAAAGTCTCGAAATCACCCACATTAGTCCATCGTGTTGTCTTCCTCGTCGTCGACGCCGCCCTCGCGGGCCGCTCCCCACTCGGCCTCGTGCACAAACTCTTCCTCCTGGTACATCTCCTCGTCCTCAGCGTACTCGGCCGTCTCGTTCATGACGGCGTTGGCGATCTCTGCAGGCTGGACGGTATTAACGAACTGCAGCAGAGACTCGGGGACTTCGTCGAGGATGGTGGGGGCGATGACGCTCTCGACTATCGTGTTCATCGTGTCCTCGTAGGGCATAGGCAGCCGCTTCTCGGCATCTTCAAGCACCTGCTTGTCAGTTTCAACACAGAACAACCAACTCACGAGATAGAGACCGACCTGGCTCCTTGGGCCGAGGTTGCAGACCTGGAGCAGCTCAGCCTTGGTGAGGCCGTAGTCTTGAAGTCCATCCGCAAGCTGAGCCACACCCTCGGCCGTCTGGCGGGCAGTCACATTGAAGTCGGCGCACAGGTACTTGATGACCTCGTCCTGGATCCAGATAGCCTCGTCCGACTTGCCGCGGCGGGCACCCTCGTCCTCCTTCTTCAAACCCTCTTCATCAAGATCAGGTACATCAGGGACGTCGGGGACATACGCTCCCTTCTTTGGCGGGAGGTGTTCGCGCGCAAGTAGGGCCTGGCGGTTGGTGTGGTTGCGGACCGCCTCCTCGAGGAAGTCGTTGTCCTTCTTGGTGCCGATGAAGTGCTGGAGGACCTCGTAGTTGGACAGGTGCTGCGGCGGGTTGTTCGAGATCTGCGGGAAAGTTAACAAACAAGCGTAGGTAACTCTTTACCTTCATGATGGGCCTCGATGCACCGGTCTGGGGCCGCTGACGTTGTTGTTGCAAGATTCTCTGGCCGTGCCGGTCGGCCTCCACTCTTGACGGTCACTGCTCCTGAGCTTGCCTTGCTAGAAATCTGAAGGTGGGAAGGCAGGGTGCCACAGGCGGTATTCCCGGGGGTGGAAGCGCAGGCTGAGCGGCTGGCGGCAATCTGCTCCCGCTTGGCCTCCACCGGGCAGCGGCTCTACAGTGGAGCATGGTCGAGTCCACCGCCCGACGCGTTTGGAAGAAGGCAGACGCGACTGCACGCTCATGACGTCTCAGTCCTCTCACCACTGTCCCACCACAGCAACCTGAACCCCACCACCGAACATCTTCCCCCTCCTCCCCGCCAAGGCATCATCCAGCCATCCACCTCCTCCGCCGCATCGACGTCTTCCCCCTCCTCATCGACTGCATCCATACGAAAGCATACCCATCACGGACGACCGATCCGTCCGCACTACCCACACCCATACCCCCGCTGACCAACTCGATACATTCCGCCGTTTGCACCGTCGCGTAGCAGAGTCTCCCCGCCATGGGCAAGAAACCCGCCGTTGCGGGCGAGGGCCCTAACACCATCTACAAGGTGAGCATCCAGCAGCTTCAAATCCCCGTGGACCATAGCTAACAGACACAGGCCACGTACAGGTACGTTTGCGATGCATGTCGGCGCGAAAAGTCTGCCGCGATCCGGCAAACATTCAAACATTACGCGCGTGCTAACCACATTAACTTGCAATGTTAATAAAACCTCCATCCGTTTTCCAGTGGCGTGTAAGTGTCCGGGCCTCGGTCCCGCGCATCCTTTGCGTCGCGGGCGAGTCGACGCGTCCCGTGTATGTGTACTAATGTCAGCCCCGTGTACGAGTTCATCTGCCGCAATGTGGCGGTCATGCGCCGCCGGTCGGACGGATACCTGAACGCGACGCAGATTCTCAAGGTCGCCGGGTTCGACAAGCCGCAACGCACGCGTGTGCTCGAGCGCGAGGTCCAGAAGGGCGAGCACGAGAAGGTCCAGGGAGGATACGGAAAGTACCAAGGTATGTTTTGCTGCATATTTGGCTTGAAATGTTTGGGCTAATGTCAGGAACATGGGTTCCCATCGAGCGCGGGCTTGCGCTCGCGAAGCAGTACAACGTCGAGGACCTGCTCCGGCCGATCATTGACTTTGTGCCGTCGTCTGTGTCTCCGCCGCCGGCGCCGAAGCACACGGTTGCTGCGCCCTCGAAGCGAAAAGCGGAGCCGAAGCAGGCGAAAGACGTTTTCAGCGCCCCGAAGCGGCAGCGAGAAGCGACTCCCGAGTCGGTCGCCGCGTCCCGGGAAAGCGACTCGCCAGGGGATGCCATGTCCGAGTCGGCGACGCCGTCGCCTCTGATCGGCTCGAGTGCGCTGCCGCCGAGCGACGCCCCGATGCCGCCGAGCAGTGATGCGATGGACGTCGACCACAAGGCTTCCTCGAATGGGCACTCGCGCAAGCGGACAGCGGACATGATGGACGTCGACCAGTACGAGCAGATGCGGAGGGCGCGGGGGAACAGCGCTGTGCACACGCCCCCGCACGGCAGCTCGCCGCGCAACTATGGCGGTATGCAGGGACCCCTGACGCAGGACGAGTACAACGACATCATCCTCAACTACTTTGTGTCGGAGTCGACGCAGATCCCGTCCGTGTTGACATCGCCGCCGTACAACTGGGACCCGAACGGTCCCATCGACGATGACAACCACACGGCGCTGCACTGGGCCGCGGCCATGGGGCGTGTCCGCGTCATCAAGCTGCTGCTCTCGGCCGGCGCACGCATCTTTGACAAGAACAACCTTGAGCAGACGCCTCTCATGCGCTCCGTCATGTTCACAAACAACTATGACCTGCGCAAGTTCCCCGAGGTGTTCGAGCTGCTGCACCGTTCCACGCTTAATATCGATAAGCAGAACCGCACAGTGTTCCACCACATCGCCAACCTGGCTCTCATCAAGGGCAAGACGCACGCGGCGCGCTACTACATGGAGGTCATCTTGTCGCGTCTTGCCGACTACCCGCAGGAGCTCGCGGATGTTATCAATTTCCAGGACGAGGACGGCGAGACGGCGCTGACGCTCGCGGCACGTGCGCGCAGCAAGCGTATCGTGAAGGCGCTTCTCGATCACGGCGCCGATCCCAAGATCCGCAACCGGGACTTCAAGTCGGCTGAGGACTACATTCTCGAGGATGAGCGCTTCCGCTCCTCGCCAGACATCATGCTTGGCCGCACTCTGCCGCTCGCATCGAGCAATGCAAACTCGCTGGGCGCCTCCGTGTTCTCGGGCTACTCCCACCCGCAACTCTACACGAGTGAGGCGGCGCGTCTCGCAGGCGGCCAGTACCTGAGCGACATCACCACGCACCTCCAGTCCCTGGCGCGGAGCTACGATGCGGAGTTATCAGCCAAGGAGCGCGACATCCTCCAGGCCAAGGCGATGCTGACGACGATTCACGCCGAGGTCACCGAGGCAGGAAGACTGCTGCACAACCTGGAGGAGAAGGCGAAGCCTCTCGAGACGCGGCAGGCTGAGCTCTCTCCTTTGGTCTCGCAACTTCGTACGAGGTTGCAGGAGGCGCTGGCACGTGGGGCTTCGGACTGGCTGAAAGCTGAAGCCGGACGGGAGGCGCGCTGGCGTGACGGCAACGACCCCAGCCAAGCGGGCGAGGACTACAGCGATTTGGAGGCGCTTACCGCTGTGCCGGAAGATGCGAAGGGGGAGGAGGAGCGTCTCCGTGCCGAGATCGAAGCGAAGCGAAAACGCCGAGCGGAGCTTGTTGAGCGGCTCGTGAAGGCGCAGACTGAGGCGGGCACCACGGAGAAGATGAGCAGGTACCGCCACCTCATCGCTGCCGGATGTGGAGGGGACGTGTCCGCCGCTGATGTCGATACACTCGTCGGCCAGATCCTGGAGACCCTCGAGATGGAGGCAGCCGCGGCGCCCGCCCCCCCGAACCCACCACAAACGCCCAAGCCCGCTGCGTCCCAACCGGCATCACAGCCCGCCGCTCAGGCAGCGCAGTCATCCCAGCCCTCCCAGCCCTCCCAGCCAGCACCCCAGACTCCAAGTGGCCAGACTGCCACGGCGCAGCCGCCCGCAACCCCCACGCCAGCGGGAACGAAGGCCTAGTGGGCCACTCCCACGTACCCGGCGTATCCGGCGTATCCAGCGTATAGCCCGCAACGCGCAAGCCTTTCCCCGCCCCAGTCCCCGCACCCCGAGTATAGGCGGTACTACTGGAACCCTTAGTGGTTCAGTGGTGCCCTTGTGAAGAAGTTAAGTGAAAGTAGTATTGTAGCTGTGATAGTCTTGCGAGACTTGTTTGACATGCCATCCGTGTAGAGTATGCCGACTAGCACTGAGCGGAGCGAGGTGCAAGGGAGCCGTGCGAGGGAGCCGCAAGTTGCCAGCCTACGTAGTGCACCGCTGTTTGCGAGGAATGAGGAAGAACCCTAGTTCAGAGAAGTCAGGCGCGCCTGCAGATACTGGCCGGTCTATCCGCGCCCGTGTTGAAAATGTGGGGCCTCCACTTTTTCATGACGCCAGCGACCGCGAGTTTGCCACCAAAATAATCCGAGCTGCTCGCTCAGTCATCATCGCAACTACTCTCGCAACACTTTGCTACGCCGATAGAAGCAGACGGCAGGATGAGGGATATACCGATGGCCTCGCTTGAGGGCCTGCCGGGCGACGTGATGGCGCATATCCTGGAACTGCTGCCGGCGTCAGACTTGGCGAGGTTGCGGCTCGTGAGCCGGATTATGGATCGACGGGTGAGTCTTCCCTCCATGTCTTCCCTCTCTTCTCCACCACCGATGGAAGATGAAGCTACGGTGGGATGAGCATAGCTAACACCAGGTTACGCACCAGGGCATGCCCCTCTACCTCTCACAACATCGCGTACGGTACACTTCCCTCACTCCGCCGGCCGACAAATGGCGACCAAAGGACCTGTTCAACTTGCAAGCCCGAATCCAACGAAATCTGAAGGATCACAAGATGCACGCTGTTCAAGTTGGGCAGACTTGGAATCGGCGCTGTCTCCCCGTCATCTCTCTCGACAGTGACCGGCTGATCATCGGTGCCGGAGGTGATATCCTGGTCCACCACCTTGTCCCACCCTCTTCAACGTCCAGTTACTCGCCATCGACATCTCCACAGTTCCCGCCCCTCCGCTCCCTTCCCCCGTCACCTACCCACCAGAAGAAGGGGAAGAGAGACAGGACGACGTACGCTCCGAAAGCTGTCGCCTCGGCACACGTCTATCCTCTCTCGAACCGGAGTGACAGCGACATTGTCGGTCTGCATCCCCTTCCCTCTGGCGAAGTGATTGCGGCACAGTTCGACGGCACACTGCAGCGACTCAACCTCTCGGGTCAGTTGAGGTCTACAGCGCACTACCAACATCCCAAGGAACACATCTACGCCCTCTCCGGGTACGACGACCACTTCCTCGCCCTGTCCTACGGCGTCGGCAGCCTCTACAGCGCGCGGTCACCATGGCTCCCGCCCATCGAGTTTGAGTTTGAGGAGCGGCCGTGGTCCGGCCTGCTTACCTCTGACAAGGCCTTCGTCGGAATCCGGGGCGAAGTGGCCATATTCAACCTCCGTCCGGACGGAGTCGAATATGCCCAGTCCCTGCGTGCCGATGGCTCTTCCACCCCAGGGACCGAGTCCGACGACGGCGTCATCGTCATCGACTCGCTCGACGCACTCGACTCAGCCCTAGGACGGACGGCACGCCGATCGACGCCGTACTCCATTGCCCTGGGGAATGATCCGTACACGGTGCTGAGTGCGTGGCACGACGGCTTTGCGCGCCTGCACGACCTGCGCACGGGAAGCTGCGAGATGGAACTGAGCGATCCGTGGCAGGACGCGCCGCTATATTGCGCTTCCTTCCTCGGTGAAAACTCAGTCGCGACCGGCGGGTCGCAGCACGGTATCGTTTCTGTGTTCGATATCCGCACTGCCAAAGGGTATAGCGTGTTCACGCCCGAGGGCAAGGGGTCCCCGGTCTACGGGATGGTCGCGGAAGGGGGGAGGGTGTGGGGCGTGAGCGAGCGCCGGGCGTTTGTGTGCGCTTGGGACGAGAGTGGAGATGCCCGGGGAGGCTTAAGAGCGCAAGACGATCTGCAGGAAGTCTACGAGGAGCCTAATGGCCATTACGGATACGGACGGGGGAGGGGAGGAGGAAGAGCAAGAGGGAGAGGACGGGATGGGAAGGACATTCCCACTGCATATCGACGGAGAGGGGGAAAGTGGGGCTGGACGGTCGGATATGGAGAGCATGCCAAGGAGACCTGTATGGGGTACCGACACGAGGACAATGGGACGACGCTGTTCGAGACCAAGGTGCCGGTGTAGACTTAGATAGATTTCTAGACTTGCTCAACCCTCATGCACATTGTCGTTGGCTGGGCCGAATGGGATCAACGAGGAGTGACGCGTGTACGTGTGGTTATGGCGAGTCGCCTCCCACCGCAGACCGTTGTTTGGCTCCGTGCACCTGTGCTACGCTTTCCCGATCTGCCCAACTTGTTTCCCGTCTCTTCACTTACCTTGCTCATCATCAACATCGCCCCACCTCGAGGGTCTTCCAGCGCAAGCGAACTGCAATCTCCCTCCCCTCGTATCCCTTTCCTCCCCTTTGACAGCAGCGTCGCCCTCCCCTTTCTCTCTTGTCGTCCCCTTCCCTGCAACCCCTTCCCCGAATACCACCTTCACCCTCTCGCGCCAATCGATCTAATCTATCGTCGCATGATGTATTTCGACTGGGGCCGCTTCCCCCACATCCTCGACACCGTCGTACTCGCAGCGCTCGGCAGTGGCGACGACCAGTTGGTTCGCACACTCCGCCTGACTCATCGCGCCACGCGGGACTTCATCGACCACCGTATTGTCCAGCATGTCGTTTGTGTCCAACGCCCGTTCGCCCTCCGCACTGTCGTCGGACGCGTTCGCCTTGCGTTTAGGAGCCTGAGGTCGCCGCCCGTATCCGCGCGTTTGACATGCACATGGGATACAATATGACTATGCGCCCATACGTTGATCACTACAAGCCCTTCAAGCTTCCCAATCTTCGATTCATGAGGGTGTTCTCAGTTCATCGCGACGGGGACCCGAAGTTTTGGCTGCCAGACGATGCCAGAGGTCTAACAATGATTTACCTCGTCACCAAACCCTACAACAACGGCTACTCATGGTTCGTCTTCCGGGCCAAGACACCTACATTCGCATCTCGCTGCATTACTCTGGCACCCGGAGCCTACTGCATGAAGGGCGAAGACGACGACAGCCACTCCGCGGAGCAAAATGACATCGATGCTTTCACCAAACTCGTGGGGAAGAGCCCGGCCGACTTGTCACTCGGAAAGGGTTTCATCGGCGCCATCATGAATTCTGGAGCACCAGTCCAGAGGTTGAGTAATCGTACTGGCCTTCCATTCTATCCAGAACCACCTGTGGAAGACTGTGCTGTGGTCGGGCCTCGAGATCTGGCGAAAGACATGCTCGATAAGTTCACAAACGACCGTCATACTGGGCAGTACCCCTGCAGATTTGTCACGTTGGTCGACTGGCGAGCGGAGCTGTCCGATCATGTCCGACGAAGAGTGGTGGCTGATCGAGTCCATCCCCAAGGGCTGCTGGGAGCCCTAGAGAGACTAAGAAACCTCAGGCACCTTAGACCTCGCTGACTACCGCTATGTGGGCACAAAGGTGTAAAAAGATAGCGTGAAAAGAGGATCATTTGATGTAGGTTATTGTACATGCAGACTTGTTCCGTGTTCCGATTCCAAGTCCAAGCGTGAGCTGATGCGCAGTTGCATGACATGAACATGAATCCGACTTGTCCCACCGCTCCGCCATCGCCGAGTTTTACGAGGACATGTACCGTTCAACAGTTCACAATTTCCGGAACAATTATCGAGCACTGAGCTGGGGCTCGAGGCGCAGAGAACTGTCCCAGGAGGAATGGCGGATAATGGAGTCACTCCCTGGGTGTTGCTTCGACACTTATACCGTACACGAGACCGCCTTGTATAGCTCCTGAGTAGATTTGTCTGTAATGCACGCAGCAGCAGGTTCAGGTTCAAGGGCAATCACAGAGAGCCCGCCTGACTCGCTTAGGTCGGCAAGATAACGACCGTCCAATTAACCGATCGGCCTGCCCTACCATGACGTTGCTTGGGTGCGTGCAACTGAGGAACCCATAGTCAAAAAGCTGCTCTCCTGGTAGCGTTTGCACTCGCTCTCTCAGAGGGTTGACAAGTTCGCGATCGATAACCCGTTATGCCGAAGGGTCAATATTGGGAGGCGCTCAAGCCCCAAAGCGGATATACTGGCTGACGCACGCCTGAGTCCATATCCCTCCGTCATGGCCCCGCACTCTTATTTTTATCACCCTTCTGTTCACCAGCGCATCAATTCGCGTCTGTTCCCTCCGTTATCACTCCGGGATTTCACACCACCACTTCTTCGCCACCTCCGCCGTGTCATCACCTCTATCGGCTCCGGCACATGGCTCTTGATGCGAATCGCTTCCCGCACCTCCTCGACGCCGTCGTCAACGCGGTCATTGATGGGGAGGACGAAACGTCAATTCATTCATTGCGTCGGACAAACCACTCAGTGCGAGACTTCATCGACCGCCACATCGTACGCCACGTAGCCTGCACTCGGCGGGATGACGAGGTGTGCGATGAGAACGGACGCCCACGCCGCGTCTTCGCCGTCTTCACCGCCGTCGGCCGTGTGCGCCTCGACTACGGTCGGCCACGAGTAGCTGCACGCGTGCGCACGCTCGACATATACGCAGACAAACTCGCTCTCTCCCTACCGGCGCACCTGCACACCTGCGAACCCATCCAGTTCCCCAATCTGCGATACGTGCGGATGTTCTGCGACCGCTGGACAGAGTTGCGGGGCTGGATCTCTCGAGACGCCAGCGGTATCACCATGATCATCCCCATCACGGCCTCTCGGGCGAGCTTCTGGAGCATTCTCCTCTACGCTGCCCCACGGGCCTTTCGTCGCTGGATTACTGTTGCGCCTGCACAGATGTTCTCGGATGGTCGTCCTGACGAGCCGTTCACGTGGTCCTCCGATCCCCTGGAACGGTCCAACGCACCCGAGGACACAGCTACGGGGGTGAATCACTCCATCCTTCATCAAGACCCGGTCGAGACCAGTGAATTCGCCGAGCTCACTGGGAGGAGACCCTCCGATCTGCCCTTCGGAAAGAGTTTTGTTAGCTCTGTCCTGACGTTTGAAGAGGCTGCAGAGGAGCTCAAGACCGACCAACAGCGAGCCCTAGGGCAGGTCACTATCAGAGACTGTGCCCTCGCCGGACCTGAGAGATTGACCCGACACTTTGTGGACGAGTACAGAAGCGAGTCATGGAATCCTTGTCCTGAAGAATACCCTTGCCGCTTTGTGACCTTGTCGGGGTGGAGGGCGCAAATGACGGATGAGGAGTGGGAGCTCGTTCAGTCAATCCCCAAGAGCTGTTGGAAACTGTCCGAGGGTTGGTATGCATAATGCGTTTGGTATCTAAGAACGTGGAGTGCTGGCTCTCTCGATAACTACACCTCCTACAGCGTCTACCCCACCAAACTGCACGATTGCGTGACAGTTTAGCAGAGACTGTGACCTCTTACCAGCTCGTTGAGAGGAAACCCGCAAATCTTTCTTCGGTCAGGACTTTGTGGGTGCCGTGTTCACCTACGGGGAGACGGCACAGGACGTTGATATCGGAATCGAAGAACGCCCCGATCATGTGCGCCGGCTTCCGCTCAAAGACTGTGCCATTGTGGGACCCGAGAAGTTGACGAGGAGCTCTGTGCAGGAGCGTTTAGTGGCTGCCCATCCGTGCCGCATGGTCTCACTGTCGGAGTGAAGGACGGCAATCTCAGATGAAGAGTGGGCGCTCATCGAGTCCATACCCAAGAGCATGTAGAGAAAGTGACGAGAACAGAAGCTTTGAGCTTTACGCTCCCCAGCGCTGATGCAATCTTTGAAGAACGTGTCCTGGAGACTTCGTTCCATAGGGGTTCATCGAGGAGCTAATGACCAGTTGACTCAACATGAGCGTAGGGCATAGGGCCTGGGGTTGATGGTTGGGGGCGCAGTACACGCCGTTTCTGAATCCGCACTCACACTCCGTCCTCTCTACGTCTTCGCTGCTTCGCACAGTCCGCCATAAACACCATACTAATCGACAACATTGCTTGCCTTCAATACCCTACCACCATCACGTCTTGTTCAGCAGCACACATTGCCGATCTCCTGACATTCTCTCACCGAGTCTTCGACTGCTTGCCTCCTGCAATCGCCGAACGTGGCCTTCCTCCCCTTTGCCACCCGACAGTGAAGCTACCCGACAACTGCCTTATCGAGCCCTCTATGATGCGCCGCCTCGACTGGAAATTCTACCCTCACCTTTTCGACACCATCCTCACCCACGTCCTGGAAGATGCCTCTGCCGAAGCCTACGTCGTGCACGGTATACCCGCACCCACCGCAGGTGACTCACTCTTGCGTGCCTTGCGCTTGACGAATCACGCTATCCGGGACGCCATCGACCGACGTATTGACAACCACGCCGTTGCTCTTCTTCAGCCTCGCGTATTGTATACATTCGTTGGCAAGGTCAAGCTATACAAGAATCCTGAGACGGTGGCACGTGCTCGTGTCCTCGACGTTCACCCGGGCTCCGCCAGCAAGGTGGCGCCTGCCCACCGCTATCGCTCAAAATTCAAGTTCTCGGGGGCCAAATACGCACGCGTGTTCTCTGAATCTTGTGAGGAGGTACTCGACAGGATCATTGGTCAGAACTCGCAGGACCTAACGGTCATCTACCCCGTTCTCGAATTCCAATCATACCGAGAGCGTCGCATCGGCTCTACCCAAATCAAAGTCACTCGCACCATCACCTTGCTCCCGGTCAACTTGGGATCGCGAAATCAGAGCAGGACCTGGGTTAAGCCAAAGTCGGAGGGGGACGCAGAGCATCTGGCTGTCTTTCTGGCCGCGCCCGGCGCCGACACCCTCACCCAATCGGACGACATTTATGAGTATCCGATGGCCCAGTTCCGGCACGGCCTCATGACTCTCGCCTACGACATGATTTCATCAGCCCGGAAGCTTGCTCCTGGCAGAGTCGCCACCGTAGGACTCTTGGAAAGTATCCGGGCATCTGCTCCTCAGGGCTCCAACTGCGCCGAGTGGTATACCTCATTTGAAGATCTCGCCTTCGGCAACTCGTCATTAATGGGCGCCCTGCATGCCCACCGCTACAGTTGGGAAGAATGGCGCGATCAGCTCTCACAGGAAGAGTGGAGTCTCATAGAGTCGATTCCCGGGGTTTGCTGGGATACATACACCGTGCACAGCAATGAGTAAACATGTAGAGGAACGTGAATGTACCTTGTATGTAGCTGGCCTTAGGCATCGCCGACCGTTGGATTGGTTGGATCATGATGTGTGTGGAGATAACGAGGCCGCGGAATTGACCGAAGCATCGTCCCTGAGCGCCAGGCAACTTTGCGTTCGATTTGCGTTTGAAATGACAACGTGCTGAATACTCCGCTGCTGCATTGTGTAACTGGCACCCAGCCTGAGCACATGGTACGACGTTTAACAAGGTGAAGTTCGAACACACTCTGCACTACACAGCGTCTGTCGGTGCAGCACTTGTGAAGGGGAAAGTACGATATTTGTAATGCAGCGCTTGACAGATCGATCGGTGTTTGCCCCCGCGAGGCGCATTTCGACGATTGTGCACGTCCACATTGCCTTGCTCTCAAGATCTGGTCTGTCTTTTCTTCCTTGCCCGCTTCAACCAGACATCAGAGACCCATAGCCTCAAGCCGACGTCAAATAGACCTCATGCCGCCCGTCCACTGGGACATCAACTTTCCCCACATCCGCGACGCTATCCTGGACTATGCCCTCGAAGATCGGGACGACAGCACCATCCGCGATCTGCGGTTGACGCAGCGCGCAATTCACGACTACATTGACAGCCGCATAGTCCAGCACATTGAGTGCTCTGTGCAGTCCTTCAACCTCACAACAGCCATTGGACATGTCCGCCTCGCCTTCGAAAGTGAAAATGTTGCGTCATTGGTCCGCGTGCTCGACGTGGTCAAAGGCAGCAGCAACGATGTGAGAGCATGGCCTGCGGCATCATTTCCTAACCTGAAGTACGCAAGGCTTCTCTGTCCTGGACACCGCATGGTGCTTGACTGGCTGATCGCGGACTCCTCGAATGTGATTCTCATTATCCCCATCGTCACCTCAAGGCCCGAAGCCCCCTACCAGACTCTCAGAATACACACTGGCCCTTCGGTTACCAGGACGATCACTCTGCTACCTGCTCCGGAGAACAGGCGGCCGCTTTCGACAGAAGATATGGAGGACCTCACCGCCTTGGGCAACCGTGTCGGGAAACAGCCGACTGGACTCCTCCAATACCGCCGTGGTTTTGTTAGCTGTATCACGACGGTCGACATCGTGGACGATGCCGATACCGGAGAAGGATCCGACCAACCGGAGTACATCAGGGTGGGAGGTGGTTCAGGTTCCTGCTTGCAGCGGATTAAGAATTGTGTTGTCGCTGGACAAGCGGACCTGTCACTTGCAATGGTGATCGAAGTTGAGCACTACGGCGGTCCCGCCTGGAGAATTGACCGGCGATACGTCTCAGTGGTGAAATGGCGAGAGGAGCTCTCGAACGAGGAGTGGGACTTGATAGACTCCATCCCCGAAAGCGTCTGGAGACCTAATTGAAGTGATGCACAGTTGATGATTTTCCGGACATTGCTGATCGGAGTGCGACGAAAATGAGAGCAGCGATCGCGGTTGTCTCGATCGTCTCGAATTGTCTCGAGGAGTGAGGATTGATCGTCGTTTGAGTCCGTGAGTGCACGTCGGAACGCCCTCCTCCTTGTTGGTGTGCACACGTCAACTCTGCTCATTCTTTCAATTTATCTGTTGCTGTTTAGCCCTCGGAATGATGCCGCCACCAGCCTGGGACATAAACTTCCCGCACATCCGGGACGCCATTCTCGACTATGTGCTCGATGAGCCAGATGACGAGACGATCAGAGCCTTGCGGGCTGTAAGCCGCAACTTCTCCGACAACATCGACAGTCGCATTGCCAAGCACGCGGTCTATGTCCTAGACCCTCCGGACGTTTACACCTACATCGGCCGAGTACGACTTCCGTTCGGCAACGGAGAGCTCGAGGATCGAACCCGTATCCTGGACGTGCGCCCCGGCCGCTGTCTCTACCACGGCATGAGCCCGTCAAAGATACTCCCCGTTCACTTCAGAAACCTGCAATACGCCCGAGTGCTCAACGCAAACTGTGAACGCATCCTGCTGAATCTCATCAGTGTCAACCCTGGCTTGACAGTCATTTACGCCGCTCTCCAGGCGGCGTTTCGCGCGAATAAGCCCGTCGGAAACAACTCTCTCGGCACCGTGCGGACCATCACTGTCCTTCCCCTCAACATGGGTTACGCCGCGATTCCAACCACACCTGAACCGCAAACACTACTCGAGGCTCGGGCGGTGTTTGCCTTCGTGCAGCAGACGAGTGCGGATACACACGATGAGGTCATTTATCATTACAATTCCTGGGCGAACATCAAGAAGGTTGGGGTCCAGTACTGCGAGAACGATGTGCGACAATGTACGCTTGCGGGGCCCTCGACGACGGAGTGGGGGTTCAGTGACGAAGCGGAAGTCTTTGACCGCATGACGGTGCATTACTACGACAACAAGAGGAGACTGGACCATGGGCCTCAGGTGCGGCGTATCAGTTGGTGGGAGTGGAAGCAGGAGCTGTCGGCGGACGAGTGGGAGCTGATAGCGTCTATCCCGGACCACCCATAAAGAAGTTCATAGTCTGTGAGATTGCATCGACTTGGCTCGAAGCGAGTTGATGGACTGCCTGAATATACACCAGATGCAATGGTCGTCCGAAGGGCAGCTACGGCTGACAAACCTGGCTCACGATCAACTAGATCGGCTGAAATTCCCTCACTTCTCTACTCCTAGCATCTTAAGGATCCCCGTCATCCGTCATCCTTTCAAGTCTTAGTCCGCTTTGTTGGATGACGGATGGCTCGGCCAATTCTCAGCGATAAGGATCTGGCGACAAACACAAATTGACCGACCCCTCGAATTTAGGTTGTGACTCCATTCAGCCCACGGGGAGTGGGTGATTGCTGACCTCTCGAACGTGTCATATGTGGTCATAGTGCCATGTGGGACCTCGAGTATGGTTGCGAACGATGCAAACTTAAGCGCACTCTTACGCGAACAAGGCGTGAGGAACAAGACAGGGTCCTGCGGCAGCCCGGAACAAGAAGCCGAAGCTCCAGGATCCTGATCAGTGCCCACCGATATGCGATCGGTAACGACACGGAAGGGAGATATTTAGGGCGGTGCCTTGGTGTTCCAAACGTTAACCTACTCAAACCCAAGCTCCCAACAGCAAGGGACGCCATCGGCTTAAAGGGAAGTGCACACGCCTACCTGGCGCATGTGTTGCGAACCGTTTATCGGGCTGCAGTCTCTACGTATGGCCAACTACTGACGGCACCCGGTGAAGGCAATTGCATCGACATCTTCACTTGCCTGTCACACATCACTGCTTCCGTCCCCAACGTCAAAAGAATCATCAGCCTCGTCATCCTCATCTTGGACGTGTCTTTCAGTAGTGCAATCAAGATGTCTTCTCCGGTTTCGGAGCCTTCCGATATCGCAAGCAAGACTTCCTCTGCTTCGAAATCTTCTGAGACCATGAGCGAGATCCCAGCAGCTCCGGTAGCATCCAGCAGTACAACTTCGACATTACCGGGTCAGGAGCCACCTAATCGAAACACATCTGGTCTACCTTACAACGCCTTCGCTAGAGTCACCCTAGACTCTTTGTCGCCCATGCTTGACCTCGATTTTCATTACCGGGACAGCACAAGCGACTATAGGTACAGGTATAACGAAAGCACCGGGTCTCGGCAATGTCGCGTTCAGGATTGTGGTAACGGCGGCCGCATAGGCTTGGGTTTCCACTTCGTGGGCACTGGGTATAGACTGAACGGTGGGGCAACCACCCCGAAGTTTGCGACCACCCCTGGCTTTGGAACGAACGATTTGACCCTGTTGAAGCGCGTTCGCTTCAACTCTGTACGGGGTGGGGATGGTTTGGGATGGATGTCCGGCCTCGATGTTGCTCCTTACAGAGTATCGGCTACCTTCCACGATCGCGATGTTGTATTCGAAAACGCCACTATAGACATACCGTTGGTTGTCAAGGGAAGGCATCAGCTGGTATGAGTCCTGGACAATCGCGAAGCAATGACTAATGACAAGGCCGAAATTGCAAGACTGGGCGACTCGAGCGCAAGTGCTTTCGGTCGCGGAGAACAACACTTTAAGCCCTCAGATCACCTTACAGCAAAGCTCCGTTCGTTATGAGCTGATAGCAATGGAGAAAGCCGATCTCCCTCCACCCGAAAAGAAAATTAGCTTCCCCTACATCGAGAACGACATGGGGGGCAAGACGAAATGGCGTCTTTACAAGGAGCCAGAGCACGCTGTTCTTTATAACATGACTGAGCTCGTGTATAAGATACCGCAAAACACCTCGTTGGTCGAAGTTCTTGGCCCGAGCGGCGATTACTCGTACTGGCTCGGCGGGAGCGAATGCTATGCCGCGGTCGACCCACGACCGGTGTGGGGGCAGTATAATGTCTTGCCAACCTCTATCTCGAAAAAGGTTGCGAATGTTTCAGACCAGACATTGTTTCTTCTGCCGCTCGCACCAGATGTTGACTACACTCTGCATGTCGGCGGCAGGAGTCATGACACATCTTGCCCGATCAGTGCGATCAGGTCTTACCCGTATGAGTAGTGAGTCCTGCCGCTGTTGGAGGAGAGCTGACCACTAGCCCGTCTCAGAATTCGAGCGGTGGAGGCGATAGCCCCCAAGAAAGTGCAGGGTTGCCCACCCCTTCTAAGCCTGCCGGCAAGTCGACTACTGGCCTAATCGTTGGGGTGGTTTTCGGCGTCGTGGGGGGACTAATCATACTTGTTCTCTTCTTTTGGTGCAACCGCCGCAGACGGAAGAGGATGGTCCAGCAGAGTGTGAGAAGCCGATCGCCGGTCCGACGCTTTGTGCAGGAAGAAGACGCCGGAGAGATTCTTGAATATCTTCCTCCGCAGTATAGGGAAAACTGGCAGCAGAATGGTGGGAGCACGCCATCTGGAGCGACCTCGATTGGGGAGTCGTACGACCCATCACGCAGCTCTGCAGCATCTCAAAGGCCGCTTGCCGCTCACAGGAGCGGTGTGGAACGCGAAGGAGACATCTCCCCTCTGAAGCGAGCGTACATGCGGACCTTCGGCCGGTTGCACCATCCGCCCGATGACGCTCAGCGGCCCGTGTCTCTGCAGGAGGAGTATAAGCGGATCGTTGAGCATCCTAAGAACCTCTCAAACCTGTCGAAGCACACTGTGCGCGACCCTTCCTCCAAGGAACAGTGATACGTTGTGGATTACAAGAACGAGCCTGACAAAACAGCCTCGATGGCGCCTTTCCCAACGAGTCACTTTGCTTCCGCCGATACCCAGATTGCCGATATCCAACCTCCACTTCCTGGTCTCTCCTTCTGTTCATCTCCGACTCTCATGCCCACTCTCGACTGGGCATACTACCCCCATATCCGAGACCTCATCCTCGACGCCGCTCCAGACGATGTGATTCCATCCCTCCGCTTGACCCAACGGTCTGTGCGCGAATACCTCGATCGTCGCCTTGCGAATCACATTCTTTACGTCGTCAAGAAGGGCCGGCTTTACACTCGCGTAGGTCACATCCAGCTTGCGTTTCAGACCGAAAACACTGCTTCAAGGATTGAGGCGATCGACGTCTATCCCCCCGACCTCTTCGAGCCGCATGATGCTGTTGGTCTTCATCTCCCGAACTTACGGTACGCACGCCTCCCTTGCATCGGCGATCTGTACAACGTTTTGCCAAAGATCACCTCTGCCCCGCAATGCGTAATTCAAGCGGTCCTACCGAAAGATGCCGTCGAGGATGTTACCCTCAACTTCTGGGTGTCTAAAAAGACACAGAAGATGGTCTTTGTCCTCCCTCGTCGGCTCTCTGCCCTACGCTGTCGAAACATCCACTACAGCCCGGCGCTGAGTGACGTGCACATGTCCGAACTTGTGATCGTGTTATTGCCGGGACTCGACAATGTCTGGGATGAGGACGAGGAAGGAGTACCCATCGCCAACCGCTTTAAGCCAGACTATCTGCAAAGCATTGTGTTGGAGTGTCTCCGCGTGCCGGGAGGCACTCTGACATTGGTTGGACTTGAAGGTCTGAACAGGAAGATTGCCAGCGAGACCACAGTAGGAGACCTGCTTCGACGGCACTTTCGCGAAGACTTTCACTTCAAGCGTGCTGTCTGGCCGGAGAACCACCGAGGCCGACGACTCCATTTGCTCTCGCTCGAAGAATGGAAGGCCCAGGTACCGGCGCAGGAGTGGGAGCTGGTTTCAACGCTTCCCGAGTGCATTCTGGACCCTTGTGCCCGATGACTAGTCGCGATGGATTTGCTTCCGCTCGAAATCGCAGACGCCTGAAATTCACCGACTTCCGATCCCCCTTTCACCATCGCACCCTCTCCCACTTGCTCGACAAGCCCATGGTTCTCATCGACTGGGCCTTCTATCCGCATATACGAGATCTCATCCTCGACTTCGCTCCCGATGAAGCCATTCCCGCCCTCCGATTGACTCAGCGAGCTGTCCGTGATGCCGTGGACCGCCGGATCGCAGAGCATGCAGTGTATGTGATCGACCCGCCGCGAATGTACACAAAGAGGGGCCACATCAACTTGCCTTTCCAATCGCGGGACCTGAAGTGGAGAACACGGATGCTGGATGTTCATGCCGGGAAATCGACAAGTTACAACCGCAATGAAGGTCTCCCTGCCCACTTCCCAAATGTTCACTGCGTCCGCCTCCACGGACAGACGAGCGGGGTAGTCGTGGAGCGACTCCTCGGAGGACTTTCGCCGTCAATGGTGCTCGAGTCGAAGTTCAATCGTAAACGGTTTCTTGGGGAACAGCTCTGCGCTCCCTCCAGCTGTAAGCTACCGCTCCCTGTCGTCATACAACCCCTCATCCCTCGGGCGACTGAAGACTACCACATCGCGCTAGGCACCTTTCTCACTGGCTGCACGACCAAGTTAGTAGCTGTCTTTCCACAGGATCTATCAAAGCTTCATTGCGACGAGATTGATTTCGGTATTCATGCGGAGACGAAGGAAACTGAACTTGTCGTTCTCTTCCTGCCGTCGTTTAGCCCAGAACCGCCAATCGACGAGCGCCTTCTCGAATGCAAGTACTCATACGACAAATTCTCATGGGACATCCATGGCGCTTTCATGACGAACGCTGGCAAGCTCACTATTGTCGGACTGAGGACCTGGCAGGAGAACACGGGCGATCATGATCCCGATAAATTATGTCATGGGAGGCTGCATTCCAGGAGATCATCGACGAGGAGAGGCAGTGTACTCCGTCATGGAGCACGATCCCGGAAGTGCGCACGATCAGCATCGAGGAGTGGAGGAAAGAGATATCAGAAGAGGAGTGGGCCGCCGTCGAATCACCTCCTGGATGCTGCTGGGAGAAGTGTGCCAACTATGAGGCCGAACTCATCTAGTAGCTCGGACAACATTTGGATGCATGTAAGACTGCAACGTCCACAAGTTTCTTGTGAGCTTGAAGCTGACGTTGGTGAGACATACGCTGCACACCGGTTCCAGCGCCCGATTGTGTCGATCGTCGCGCTCTGCAAAGTGAAACAGCACACGTCAACTTTGCTCAACCTCCCTCTCACTCACAACAACGCTTCGTATCTCTCTAACCATGCTCTGACGTACTCTCCATCATACAACTCGGACAGATCGCAATCCATGACTCCCCACTACGTACGTCCACACACAGCTCTCCCGGCAAGTCAGAAGCATGTCGACGGCGGAGCCAGGGTGAAGGGGTCATGACGGAGACACTGCTGATCACACGATGCGCGGTCCGCGGGCCCCACTCACTCTTGTATAGGTCGCTGCGGACCTCCAGGTCTATTGTTCCAACTCGACATCTGCCTTGTCAACATCGTCCTTGTTCTCTTCTTCCTCTCGATCGTCACTGCGGCTGCTTTCTTCAAGGGTCAGCTCTCCTCATCTTCTCAGCGCTTGCACCCAAGCTAGTTTACAGAAGCAGAACAGCTTCAAGCGCTGACTGGAACAGGCGAGATACGGAGCACGGTGCCTCGGATCGAGCGGTGTTGCGGCGTCGTGAAGCTGATGCAGCCACTTGTCTGAACATATGACAGTAAGCTTCACGCACCTTCGAGTAGACCAACAAACAAACGGCACGATGCTGCCGTGTGCCTCCTGCCGCGACCTTCCCTGCTCCCACCGTCTCTACCCCGTCCCGGGTATCAACCCAGCTCTGCAAGTTCAGATCTACCGTCTTCAATCTTGCGACTCGTGCACGGCTATCGGCTCTCTCTGTTCGAATGCTGAGCAGCTAGTGTACTTCGACTGTAGCGACACGGACTGCGGGATCCGTTCGAATGCAGATGGAGGCATTCGCGGAGGAAGGATGGGAGGAAGAGGTGCGTTGAGGTACCTCCTCAATCCCAGTTTGAACGATGAGAGACAGAGACTGGAGTGGGAATTTACGCCGACGAGAGTGACACTGGGCGAGTGGTGAGTCTGGGCTTCGTGCATCCCCCAGGGAAGAGCTGACGACAGTGGGTCCGAGAAGGAACTTCCCAGCCTGCCGTCCCCTAGGTCGAGCAGCATCGGCGGGAGCAGTGCTTACAGGCGGTCGTTATGCGTTTCCCCCACGGCACTCGACACGATATTCGAGGATGACGAAATCGATGACCCGTGCAAGAGTGAACTGCCCACTGAGCTCGAGACGCCAGTGGAAGACCCAACATCGGGTCACCACACTGAACAACCGCCGCCGCTCGAACCATCCGAGGAAAACAGCAACACGAAACCCAGTACACCAGTCGACACTAAGATCCCCGGCTCACCACCCCCTAGTCCTCCGCACACTCCGAAGTCGCCTACTCCTCTCTCACCAGACCCTCGCCCACCAACACCGACCTCACCCCTCATCCCCGATTCACCGCGCAGCCCTTTTGCCCGCCCCAGCATTGTTCCCTCCGTGCACCCACCCGGATCGCCATGTTCCTTCATCTCTGACACCAGCGATACCTCCACCTCGTCCGACGTCGCCGTGACAGGGCACGAGTCCCACGCGGGACATTCGGCTTCCTCATCCTCCCCGCCTTCCTCACCGCCATCACCCTCTCCATCTCCACCACATGGAGGACCGGCGAGACAGGGGAAGCTCAGCCGCAGGATGTCCGGTTACTCCGCCGAGATGCTCGTGCCTCAGCCCTTTCACCCGCATAAGAGCGTGGCTGAAGTGGAGGCGCAAATTGAAGGGGCTACTCGACTCGGAGCGTTGATCAAGGCAGTCGAGGAGTGGAAGCAGGCTGCGGTGAGAGTCAAGGCAGGGTTAGAGACAGGAGACGGAAACGAGGTCGAGAGGTTCAGGATGGAGGCTCTGTGGCAAGAGATCGAACGATGTCGCGAGCGTGTCTAACCCAGCCTTCTTCCATCGCCATCCAATCTTTCAGCTCTACTTGTCGCCTTTTCTACCTCCTCGCATTATAACACTCCCCGTCCTACCAGACACCCATCGCACTTTATGCCGACACTACCCCGTCACCTATCAGTACGCCTTTGTCGCATCCTCGCCCTCATCAACGCCCGAAGACGCCAACAAGCTGGTGTGAATGAGTCACGGATACAGTCTAGATGCATACAACAAGAATACTATCGCTTCAATCCGCTCATCGCCGGTCGCGGGGCTCCTCCACCATGTCCGCCATGCCCTCCGTGCGCAGATGGCGGCGGAGGCTTCTGGTACCCGTTCGGTGGGCGGGGCGGGGCAGCCGCAGCGGCCGCAGCGGCCGCAGCGCGGTTCCGCTGCTCACGCTGCTTCCATGCCGCCTTTACTTTGTCCTGCTGGGCTAGAACCTGAATGTCAGTTAAGACTCCAAGAGGAAACTGGAAGTAGTTGTTGGCAGGTAAAACCACTCACGTCGGCAATCTCCACTCCATCCTCAATACTGTGCAGAACGCTGCGCACTGTCTTGGCGTGGTTGCCGTGCGGCTTGTCGTCGCGGAAGCGGAACATGCGCCAGCCGCCACGCTTCATGTCCCACGTCACCTCGACTACACGGCCGTCGTACTCTTCTCCCGTCTCTTTCATCCTGCCGTTGTCAGCTCTGCAAAATCCCCATGGTTGCGTGTTGCACTCACTGCTCCCACTCGTCGTCATCGACGTCCATCTCATCGAAAAACTCGTACTTGGCATCGGCCCCATCTCCGCCCATCCACTGGTTCAGGAGGAAATGCGGTTTGGCACAGTAGTCCGGCTCGCTTGGGTCGGATGCGCTGGGCGGGAAGCGGAGCTCAATTCTGAAGTCGATCGAGTTCTCGCTCGGCGGCTTCCACTTGAGGATTTTCTCATCCGTGCCGGGGACATACGCGCTCTCGGCGCACGTGAAGATAAGGCCATCGTGGCCGTGCTGCAGTTGCGGGACATGCACGTTCAGCACCTGCGAGACATGGTACGCGAGTTCCTGCTTCTTGGCGAGGATCTCAAACGGCGCATTCTCCTTCCACTCGGGGAAACGCTGCGCCGCCTTCTTCATAGGAGCCACGACCCATTCCCTGAGGCGCTGGTTGTCAGTTGTAAGCCTGCATCAGGAAACTTACAGCGAAGCGCTTGACGAGCGGCTTCTTCATGATGTTCTCGCCGTTGAGGACGAGGCAGTCAAACGCATAGTACCGCATCACTTGCGCCCCTGTGCGCGGATCAATGTCGATCACGAGCTCACCGTCCAGGATCGTGTCAGTCAGGGGGTCGTCGAGCGACTCCCAGTGCGTGAAGTGGAGATTGTCGACGGAGAAGTATTGCTGCTTGCGGTCGATCTGGCGTCAGTTGTCTAGGGAACCAGAGAAACTCACGAGCCAGACCTCTTGACTTCCCGTCATCCCGTTCATGACGACGAAGAGTAGGACGCGGACACCGTCAGACTTCTCGCACACCCAGAAGCTGCTGTCAGCTCAGCGCTACATAAGGAGGCCCACTCCATCTTCTCGAGCATGGCAATGGACTGCGTCGTGAAGGATACAGGCTGGGCGCCGGGGAATCTTCAGTCAGCTAGTTATAACAGTATCCTAGCTTACTTTGGCTGGTTCAGGTGGCAAAGTTGAGCGACATGTTCGTTCAAGTGGTGGGTGACCTCGGGGTCCGTGAGGAGCGTTCCCGGGATGTCGGGGATAATGGATTGGGCGGGCATTCCTCCAAGTGCGATCTGCAGATGGGGACAAGAAAGTTGAGAGATGAACAACCCGCGTAAGACGCTATTGTGGACCTGCGGCGCACAGCGCCGGTGGCGGAGGTCGGCCAGGGTGGATGGAGCCAATGATAAGCGACGTCATTTAAGCCACGTCAGGATTTTGCAAAAGTCATTCTGGTCATTACGGACCGAGCAGGCGACCCGTCCGCCAGGAGGGCTTTCGTCTGAGCGACTGCTCTCATCTCTTGCCACTCGGCTTACTTAGCAAAACATTCAAAATGCCCCCCAAGAACAAGGGCAAGAAGGGAAAGAAGGGAGGTGACGACGACGACGCTTTCTGGTGCGTGAGAGATCTGTTTGCATGCCGCTGCACACCTGAATACCCTGGATCACATCGCTGACTATTGTCTACAGGGCCGCCAAGGAGAAGGAGCTCGAGGCCAAAATGGCTACTCCCGACGAGGACAACGAGGCGGGTGGTGGCGGTGCCTTTGACGCCCTCGACGAGGACGACGAGTTCGGTGGAGGTGGCCTCATGGTGAGCTAAAGGGCTAGCTGTCGCACGCTGACGTATGTAGGCTGCCATCGCCGCGGCCAAGAACAAAAAGAAGGACAAGAAGAAGAAGAAGCAGTCCGCTTTTGCCGATCTCGACATGGACGACGAGGAGGGATTCGACTCGAAGGAGCCCGAGCGCGCCAACCTCGACGATGAGTGGCCTGAGGACGATGTTAAGCCTAAGAAGGGCAAGAAGGGAAAGAAGTCCAAGAAGGCTGTCGAGTCTGAGGACGAGGCCGAGCCCGTGGAGGAGCCGGAGGCTCCCAAGGAGGCTGAGCGTGCGAACCTCGACGACGAGTGGCCCGAGGAGGACCTGAAGCCCAAGAAGGGCAAGAAGGGAAAGAAGGGCAAGAAGCAGGCCGTCGAGGAGGACGACGACGATTTCCTCGAGAAGGCCGCTGCCGAGGCTGCCGCTGCCCGCGCCGCCGCCGAGGCTGCCAAGCCCAAGGACGAGCCCTCCCCGGCCGCCGATGAGCCCGAGGAGGAGGAGACTGGCGGCACCAGGATCCTCTCCAAGAAGGAGAAGGAGAAGTTGAAGAAGGAGAAGGAGAAGGCTAAGAAGAAGGCGCAGGCGGCCAAGAAGAAGGCCGCCGCTGCCGACGAGAAGAAGGCCGCCGCTGCCGACGAGGCTGACTCTGGAGCCGCTACTCCTGAGCCTTCCACTCCCGCGCCCGAGGCCGCCGAGGAGGAGGCCGCCGACGAGCCGGCTTCGTCAGCCGCGGACAAGAAGAAGAAGAAGAAGAAGGGTGCCGCCAAGGCCGAGCCCGAGCCGGCCAAGCGCAAGAAGGTGTCAGCGCACATTCTCGCGATGCAAAAGGCGATGGAGGAGAAGAAGCGTCTCGAGGAGGAGGCCCGTCGCGCCGAGGAGGAGCGCCAGCGTCAGATCGAGGAGGAGGAGCGCGCCGCCGCCGAGGAGGAGGCCCGTATCCAGGCCGCCGAGGACGCGAAGAAGGAGAAGGAGCGGCTAAAGAAGGAGAAGGCCAAGGCCGAGGGTCGTCTTCTGACGCCCGCCCAGAAGCGTGAGCGTGCTGCCGCCGAGGCGCGTAAGCAGGCTCTGCTCGCGTCCGGCGTCAAGATTGCCGCGCTCGAGGGTGGTGCCCCCGCCGCCAAGCGCCCCTTCAACAAGAAGAAGGGCGGAAAGGGCCCGCAGGCTAAGACCCCCAGCCAGCCTTCTACCCCCGCTCCTTCTACTCCTGCTCCCTCCTCGCCCAAGGTCGAGGCGACGAAGCCGGAGGAGAAGAAGGACGATGACGAGGACGACTGGGACAAGTCGGACGACGAGGTTGCGGACGTTGCCGCCGGCGTCAAGGACCTGAAGGTCGACGACAAGAAGGAGGAGTCGGAGGACGACTGGGACAAGTCGAGCGAGGACGAGGCCCCGCCGCCGCCCAAGCCCGCCGCGAAGGAGGCGGCCAAGCCGGCTGCTAAGCCCGCCGCGAAGGCTGCCCCGGCCAAGCCCGCCGGCAAGGCCGCTCCTGCCAAGGCCGCTGCCAACGGCAAGAAGCCCGCTCAGGAGGAGTCCGAGTCCGAGTCTGAGGAGGACTCTGAGGAGGACTCGGATGAGGACAGCGACGAGGACTCTGACGACGACTCGGACGAGGACTCGGACGACTCTTCCGAGGACGAGGTCGAGCAGGCCAAGGAGCGTGCGCGTGTCGCCATTGCCGCCCGTCGCAAGGCGGCCGAGGCCGCACAAGACAAGACTGACCTCCGTTCTCCTATCTGTTGTATTCTCGGACACGTCGATACCGGAAAGACCAAGCTGCTTGACAAGATCCGTCAGACTTCCGTCCAGGAGGGCGAGGCTGGTGGTATCACGCAGCAGATCGGTGCCACCTTCTTCCCGAAGGAGGCGCTCGTCGAGAAGACGCAGGTCGTCAACAAGAACAACGAGGTGCAGGTCAACATTCCCGGTCTGCTCATCATTGACACGCCCGGACACGAGTCGTTCACCAACCTGCGTTCGCGTGGTTCCTCGCTGTGTAACATTGCCATTCTCGTCATTGACATTACGCACGGTCTCGAGCCCCAAACCATCGAGTCGCTCAACCTGCTCAAGATGCGCAAGACCCCCTTCATCGTCGCGCTCAACAAGATTGACAAGCTCGACTCGACCGAGTGGAAGACGCACCCCGACGCCGGCTTCCGCGAGACCCTCGCTGCGCAGTCCAAGCGTATGCAGCGCATGTTCGCCGACCGCGTTCAGTACATCAAGGGTATTCTCATGGAGCAGGGCCTCAACTCGGAGCTCTACGACGAGAACCCCCAGCCTGGACGTATCGTCTCCATCGTCCCCACCTCCGCCGTTACCGGTGAGGGTGTCCCTGACCTGCTTGCGCTCCTCGTCAAGCTCACCCAGGACCGTATGACTGGTTCGCTCATGTACCTCTCCGAGGCTGAGGCGACCATTCTCGAGGTCAAGGTCATTGAGGGTCTCGGTACCACCATCGATATTGTCCTCGTTAACGGTGTCCTGCGCGAGGGCGACAAGATTGTGCTCTGTGGCATGAACGGACCGATCGTCACCAACGTCCGTGCGCTCCTGACGCCGCAGCCGATGCGCGAACTGCGTATCAAGTCGGCCTACGTGCACCACAAGGAGGTCAAGGCGGCGCTCGGTGTCAAGATCGCGGCCCCGGGTCTCGAGAAGGCCATCGCCGGTGCGCGCATGTTCGTCGCCAAGAACGACGACGAGGTCGAGTACTACAAGGACCTCGCCATGGACGACCTCACCTCGCTCGACAAGTTTGTCCAGAAGTCGGGCCGCGGTGTCTTCGTCCAGGCCTCGACGCTTGGTTCGCTCGAGGCCCTGCTCGTGTTCCTCAAGGACATGAACATTCCCGTCTTCGAGTTCGGCCTCGGACCCGTCTACAAGTCGGCCGTGATCCGCGCCGGTCTCATGCTCGACCGTGCGCCCGAGTACGCCGTCATGCTCTGCTTCGATGTTCCCGTGACCTTTGAGGCTGAGGAGCAGGCCAAGCGTGAGGGTGTCAAGATCTTCTCCGCCATGATTATTTACCACCTCTTCGACGCCTTCAAGAAGCACATGGAGGAGGTCAAGGAGGCCCGTCAGAAGGAGGCCGCGCCCAACGCAGTCTGGCCTTGCAAGCTTAAAATCTTGAAGCCATTCGCTACGCGAGACCCCCTGATCCTTGGGTAAAATTACGTAAGCAGAATTATCGCTGACTTTTCCTAGATGTGACCTTGTCGATGGAGCGACTGTGCGCGTTGGAACGCCTGTTGGAGTCGTGCGCGTCGACAAGGAGAAGGGCACACGTGACATTATTCCGCTCGGAAAAATCACGGGCCTGGAGATCAACCACAAGACTTTCCAGGTGGTCAAGCGGAACCAAATTGGAGCTGGTAAGTCTCAAATATGCCGAATTTAACGAATTCACCGACCTCCACCACCAGATCGCTAACATCTACAGGTGTCGCCGTCAAGATTGAACGTGCTTCGCATCAAGCAGCTCGCACGTTTGGCCGGCACTTCTCCGAGCATGACCTCGTCGTTTCTCTCATCTCGCGTCAGAGCTTGGACACGCTGAAATCGAATTTCAGAAATGAAGTAAGTTCAAACGTGGACGAAAAGTGGAAGAGGAGGGATGTGATGTAGAGAGGCGCAGTTGGCGTTTTGGTGGAGGACCGAAATATTGGTCCCGTTTGCCGATCACACCTAGTTGACGGCTCAACCCCACCTCCACCACGCCGAGAAAAAGCTCACCAAACATCTCCTCCCTCCTTACTCTCGTCTTCCATCCTAGCTTCTTGGGCCGAGCTGACTCTTCGCAGGTAGAGATGTCGGATTGGGCACTGCTGAAGCAGATGAAGGCTGAGCAGGGTGTCCAGTAGTCTGGCCCCCTCGCTCTCGCTGGGGCCCAAGCTCCCGGCATTCTAGCATAATTGACCGAGATTTAGACACCGCGATGCATCATATTCGTTTTTGTGCTTGTCGACCGTCACTGAGACAAGACATATACGCCATGGCAGCGGCGAAACCGATAACTCCGGAGGGCGCAAAGCACAGGTTGAGTCACCTCGTCGCAGCCCTCTAACCTTCTCTCACATTCCCATCATCTTTTGCATCCCTCCTCTCAACACCGACAGCTGATCGCCACACGAAGGTGAGTTTCGATGGATGAAAAGAGCATTGAAGGAGCTGGAAGAGGCTGGTGCTTTGTCGCGATGAGCTTGGCTCAAAGCAGACATCTGTGAAGAGTGCAGTGACCGTATTTTCTTCCCTTCTCCGTCGATCCGTCGAACCAGCTATCCCATACGGCACTGTTACGAACAGTACCAGAATGTGGTGAGTTTGAGTCTGGCACCATGACTGCTCAACATTGCTTCCGTCGAGCTCTTTGCCACCCGCAACTTCACCTACCTGGTATCGGAGCAGACCTGACCTTGCAGCGTTGTAGACAAGGCCTGGGCGGCCGTCAGCGAAGCGTTCGCACCCACCCAGCCGCTCTCCGGGTACGCCAACCCCGCGTACAGCATGACTGCTCCCAAGACTACGCAGCTCGAGCGCGTCGAGATCATCGAGCTCAGCATCAAGGAGTTCTTCACTCCGAGCGGATTGAGTCAGACCCGCATTCAGTCAGTGGCCCGTTAGATGCCTCTCACCTCCCAGACTCGTTCTACAAGCATGGAAGGGTAATGACAATCCGTTCATGATGGCCCTCTACACCTTCCTCGGTTAGTGACTTGTGACAGTGCCTCGATGTACTGTGACAGCTGCGCAGTTGACCTAAAACAGGAGTCAAGGTATTCAAGAACGCCGCGAATCTCGCAGAGATCCGCACTCTGTTCCACCGAGATCTACCAAACACCAGGTACAAGCCCTTGAGTGAGGATGAGAAGGAGGTGGTGGTCGCGGCGGAGAAGATGCTGAGTGAGCAGCAGACGAGATCGGGTTTGCTCATAAGCAGAGGCAAGCCGCATGTCGTGCAGCCGCCGAGGTCTACGCAACTCTGCCGAGATGATCGAGGTGTCCGTGAACTGTCTCGACGAGTTCCTGAACGTGAGTCTCGGGACAGTTCTGCGTTAACCTCAGATTGTTCAGCGGGACAGGAAGCGCCTGCAGTCGGAGGCGGGCAAGGCAACCGGCCAGCAGGGCACAAGCGGGACCCCGAAGAAGGTGAGGGGTCGTACGCTATTTGTGGACTTCCTTGGGTTCTCGTGCTGTGAGTGAAAGCCATCACCGTTTTAAACAGGCGCTGACGAGAGTGTGGGCTGGTGGTACGTACTCCGTACTCGAAAACGAGATCAAGGTGTCAAACAAAGGTGTGACGTCTTATAAGACGCGCTCCGCTGCGAGGAAGGTCATCCGTGACTGTAAGTTGCCTGTATATGCGGCAGCAGCTGAGCACCCCAGACCAGGAGGACATTGTGAAGGGCAAGCTCGTGCTCAACGACGACGGCTTCGTCGAGTACAACGAGGCACCGAAGTACAACGCGATGCTTCGAGGTGGTCAAACGGCGGACGTTGAGGAATGGATTGTTCAGGCCTGCGAGGTGAGAATACAAGTGATGCAGGCCTTTAGCTGACAACCAGGGCTATGAACTGGAGACCATCGAAGACCAGTACAATCTGGTGCTCGGCCGCGCAGAGTTCGGCGACGTCCAAGTCCGCCGAACCTTCCGCTCTTCTTTGTGTATGTTCCGCCCCTGAAGAATACGAGGCTGGGCAGCTGACCGTTCGACCAGTTGCCGGGCGCAGGAACTCGGGTTCAAGGGCACGAGGAGTCAAGTCTTGGGCGTGGCTACAAGGTACTGCGAAGCCGAGATGGCCAAGTGCCATCAGGCAGAGCAGAAGTCAGGCTGGCGCTGGACCGAGGCCAAGCACAGCACGGTAGCCAAGTGAGTGTTTTGTCCTGAGGGGTCGCATCTTCTAATCAGAAAGGCAGATATCCGCAACAATAGGGGGACGATCTGGAACAACCTCGCCAGCGCGCTTCCGACCCATCGGCCTGCTGCTATCATGCTGCACCTCCGTCACGACCACGTTAAGGAGATTATCCGCAAAATCATGCGCCAGCAGGTGAGTGCCGCAGACAGAGGACTGCAGAGCTGACTGCCCAGGGAGCGACGAAGACTGAGATGTGGATCCACCTGCCCTGAAGGCTCGAAAACCTGCGCAGGTCATTGGAGGTAAGGCAGCGGAAGTGTCGAGGCTGACAGTTCTAGCTTCTGGGATGGAGCTGGGGGCGTCTGGAGTTTGAAGCCGCTCGCGCGCGTGAAGAGAAGGGTGACAACATCACCGGCCTCACTCTCATCGTCCATTTTATCGGTGTGTCAAGCCGTATGTTACCCAGGAAACTTGGAGCCGCTCACTAACGCAAGTTCTGCGTACTGGTGCCTACTCAGTCATGCCGGAGATGCCCATGGGACAGGGGCGCTACACGACGTGTGTGGCAGCGCGTGATCGTTGGGAACGCGGTGAGTGTGCACTCTGTTTGATCTCACTAACGGCCAGTGCTTGACGACGTCTACATGTGCATCATCAACGAGGAAGAGGACGGAAGCATCCGTCACGACACAAAAAGGCGCATCGGCCAGGTTCTGAGGGACGGCGAGCGCGTGCTCGAGTTGCAAGACTGGATTGCGGATGCAACCGAGGTGAGACGACGTCAAAGCGTGGCTAACAATCTAGCCGTACGAGCCCGTGGACCTCGAAGAGCAACTGCAGGTCGTCCTCGGTAAGGGTCGCTTTGCAGGTGCCGGAATTGCGAGCGCCTTCTCGTCTGCTTTGTGTAAGGTGTGCCCCCCTGCGCGAGACTGACATGCAGTCACAACTGCAAGCAGCGAGGAGTGGAAAGTGTCCCGCCAACTGCTCTTCAGCTTCGCGAGGAAACTCGCCTACAGGACTCGCGCGCGCGCCGAACGACACGACGCGCTGCTGCCGAAGTACTGGACTTCGGCGGAGAAGGACACGGTTGCAGAGTATGTACTACTGACGACGACAAGCTCCACTGACGCTCCCAGGAGCCTTGCCAACCTCGAAAGCTTTGACTGGAAGGCCGTCTCGGCGGCAGTGAAAACTCGTACGCCCGGCGCGATCGAGAAGCACGTTCTCAAGGCGAAAGCGAAGGTGCGCAAGGACATGGCGACACGTATGCGCCGTGCTGTGAGTTTCCAATCACGTACATCACTGATGACTAGGGTGCCCCCGAGGACATTATCAGGAAGGTGTACACTCCCTAGGTTCCAGGACCAGCACACCGCGACTCATGTTTACGACTGCATCACCCTCTCAAGTCAAAGTTGTTTTCATTACCCAGCACGTCCACCGCATGCCCTCCAAATCCACCACATGCACACCTTCCAACCCAGGCTTCACCCGAGAGCGAGAAGATTCAGAACGACAGGGACGACAACACACATGTTGCAAGGTCTCCTTCCACATACCACGGGTCTTAAACGCGACAGAACCCAGTCGCGTGTGTAGTCCTCTTATTATCAGTATGCAGAGATTGACCCACGAGCTTCAGTCCCAACCCCAGGTCCAGGCGCCTCCAGGGACAGGAGTGACCCTTATCTTACCCAATTGACCGAAGGAAGACGCCGACCAGCCAGCCAGCCATGGGATCCCCAGGGCTCTTAGAGCTCCAGATCGAGTACTTTGGCTGCGTTCTAGCTCATGAGCGGTGACTCTTCACTACTCGACGACGTGCCCTGCCGGAGACGATCAGTCAGCGTTCACGCCGTTCGACCTGATTGAGTCGACTTTTGTCCCTCACACCCAATCACAGCTGCCGCTCCACCCTACTGAAATCCACACCCAGATCCACGGCGCAGCCAGGAGCGAGCCGTCCCCAATATAACGACCTGCCCCAATGCTCGACGCGTCGGTGATGACTTCCGTTGGCATCTGGTATTGAAATCCCGGCGGGCAACGTCTCGCACTCACGCTCTACTCATCTGGCACTCATGCAAACCTCCGGAGCGGCGACGGCAACGGAAGTCGCACGACCAGCTCCCGTGACGTCACCGAGGCATATATAACAACCGCGGTCTGACTCTCGCTAACAAACCACGCCCGCTAACAAACCACGCCCACTGACCACACACAATGCCGTGAGCCGCTCCTCCATCTCCCTTGCGCCCAGTGCTAACTTCAGCGGCCCGATCACACAACTTCCCAATGGCGGCAGCCTGCAGGCTCTGTACGCGCACCCGCTCCCGAACGCACCGGGGATGAAGCTCGTCGCCGTCAAGGTCATGTACGAGCCTGGAGGCTGGACCGAGCGACACCGACACGGAAACGCGTTTGTCACCGCCGTGCTGCTCGAGGGAGCCGTCGAGTCCGGACTCAACGACCAGCCTCCCCAGACTTACAAGGCTGGCGAGAGCTGGACTGAGAATCCCGGAGACATCCACTCCATCTCCCGGAACGCGAGCAAGACCGAGCCTGCCAGCTTCATCGCGAGCTTTGTCTGCCCCGTCGACCAGGAGGAGTATGTCATGTGAGTAAACACGAGCAAACGGGCGTGTGCGGGGTCGTGCGCGCTGGATTGGAGCTATTGACCGCGCGTCCCACACACACAACCACGGCTTTCGGATCGCCCACTGACACCAGTTTCGACTGTCCCGCCTGTGAGGTCGCGCGCGACGCCAAATAGTACTTGTAGATCGCCATGAACCAGTTCCCAGCCTACCCCATTGTGTAACTGTTTGTCCAAGATTTAGTCCCGTCAGCACGGCGTCTTCGGAGATCCCCGACGAGAACACCGTTGAGACGTCCGACGGCGCCTTCCCCGATCTCACCATCACACCATCCACGTCATGACTGCCTGCCTGCTCAAGCCCGACGGCGGCGCCTACGCCTGGCGCGGCGTGCACCTCGACCCGTCGCGACACTTCCTCCCCCTCGACGACGTGAAGCGCATGATCGAGGCGCTGGCGCTGCTGCGGATGAACGTGCTGCACTTCCATCTATCCGACGACCAGGGTTGGCGCTTCGAGAGCAAGAAGTGGCCGCGACTGACCTCAGTCGCGTCGCAGCGCAAGCAGACCGTCGTGGGTCGCCCAGGCAACTATGGGCGTGGTGACTTGCATCCGAAAAACTATCTCAACAAGTACGACGGGAAGCAGCACGGCGGATTTTACACGCAGGATGAACTGCGCGACCTGAACACCTTCGCAAAGTCTAAGGGCGTCACGATCGTACCCGAAATCGACATGCCGGGACACATGAAGGCGGCAAGAGCAGCGTACCCCGAGCTCGGGTACAATGGTACGCTTCTCAACGTAGGCGACAGCTGGGGCGTGTACCCCGAGGTGCTGCGCGTGGACGACCCCGGGCTGCAGTTCGCCAAGGACATTCTCACGGAGATCTGCGACGTTTTCGACTCTCCCTACATCCACATCGGCGGCGACGAGTGTCCCAAGGTCGAGTGGGCCGAGGCGCCGACAGCCCGCAAGCAGGTCAAGAAGCTCGGCCTCGATCCTGACAATCTCAACAGCTATCACGAGCTGCAAGCCGCGTTCACACGCGAGCTGGCCAAGTTCCTGGCCAGCAAGGGCCGCAAGCTTGTCGGTTGGGACGAGATTCTGGACGGAGGCAAGCTCGACGGCGTCGCGGTCATGGCGTGGCGGGACTGGAACGACGCGGCGAGGCGCGCAACCGACGCGGGCGTGCCCGTAATCCAAACGCCGAACCTGCTCTACTTTGACTATGCGCAAGGCGATGAGAAGTCTGAGCCGCTCTCGATTGGGCGCGGCGCGTCGCTCAAGGACGTGTACGCGTTCAATCCCCTCAAGGGCGTCGACAAGGACAAGGCTGGCCTCGTGCTCGGCGCCCAGGCCCAGCTCTGGTCCGAGTACATCCCCGACGCGAAGCAGCTGTGGTACATGGCCTTCCCGCGCCTGATTGCGCTCGCAGATGTCACGTACTATGGCGAGAAACGCGTCAGCTACGACGAGTTCCTGAAAAAGCTGCCTGAGCGCGTCAAGGAGCTCGAGAAGCTCGGTATAGTGGGCCATCCCCTCCCGGCCGAAGCATAGGATTGCATGCACCGGTGTACAGTATCGAGAGTGTGCTGTAAAGTGCCGTTCTGCATTCACCAACTCATGACAGGATACATGATTGACCAGTCCACGAGACGACGTTCGCAGCAGCGACACATTTCCTTCCCGGTGGCAACGACTGCGCGCTAATGGACCCTAGCTCAAGCTGCAAAAATCATGCCTCCTGTAAACACCCACTCACCACAACATGCTCGTTGATTGTCAACACCTCGACCGACCCCTGAAGCGACGATGCCGAGACAGCAGGTGGGATCAGAGGGAGAAGCCGAAGCGGACGACAATCTCTGCCGCCGCGTTCGCGCACATCGTCGACCTGATGTCATGATCTACTGAGGAGAGTGAGAATCGCGCAACGGATGCCATGTCTGCGTCTTCGTCGGTCAATTCGCGGGCGACAAGCACGAGCCCTTGCTCCCGCCCGTTCTGCGCGCAGTCGCAGTGCATCCGGACCATTGTTCCTGTCAGCCACCTGACAGAACTAGATAAGCCGCCACCAAGATGACTGGATTGAGCTCCTGAGGGGTCCATGCTGGCAAAGTTTTGTGACACTGTGCAGGACGAATGGGGACGAAGCGATGCATGAACATGATCGTGCGTGAACGATCATAGAGGCCAGGAGCGGGAAGCACGTGGTGTGGTTCCGACAGGCACAACCATTTGAGTCGATGCTTATACATTCAGAGCACTGGGCACAAATCACTTCGAGTCAACACCATTTTCTGGCCATCTCAATGCTACATAACAGGGGCTCGTAATCTGGTTTCTCACCATCAAATCGTCTCTCTCACCATGAACTCTACCCCATCCATCTGCGAAACGGAGCTCCCCCACATCATCGACCTTATCTTCCGCTACGCGTCGATTGGCACGCTTCTTGCACTCCGCTCCGCATGCCGGGAATGGCGCAAACGGGCTGACCGACAACTGTCGCACCACCTGATTCTCTCCGAAGGCGGCCCCGACAATCCCGACGGTCTCATCACTGTGCGCAGCGGCTTGACCTCTGGCGGCAGCATCACGATGACGCCAGCCTCCTTCCGCCGCTGCTTCACGCAACAATGGCCCTGGATTGAATCCACCCTCATTCTGGACTTTGCCGGTCCGACGCACACGAAACAGACAAAGGGACTCTTGTACGCCTGGACTGATCGCTTGCGTATTGTGCGCTTCTTGTCCAATTGCGAAGACGTTGAGCGCTTTCCACCCCGCTTCGATCGGGCGGTCTACTTCTCCCCCAAACTTTACGATATCAGGCCCCGCAATGCGGACACGGTTGTTCTTCATCTGACAGAGGCGGCTAAGTACGAGGGAAGGATCGGAATTGGACTTCTGACTGTCAACGAGGTCCTTGTAGTCATTCATCCGTGGGAGACGGATCCGCTCCCTGACCAGCATGCGCCTCGGAGTGACGCCGATCTCCAAACTCTGGTCAAGCTCAGCTTTCAAGAGAAGATGGGTGATCTGTACGCGCTGGCCGAACTCGCCGACGGGACAGCGGACGAAGAATACTTTGGCGGCGGGTACTTTGAGCAGTTCGGAGTGCGCCTTGAGATCATCGGAATGGAAAGCATGACGCCGGAGATGATGGGCTTGAAGCCCGAGTGGACGAAGGGAAAGTCTGTCGCGGAGCTGGCAAAAGAATTCCTCTGGCGCGAGTTTCCGAGGATGCAGTGGCTCTTGTTCTGGTCTGTCGATGACTATCGGAGTCGCGTCGGACAGGAGGAATTTAAGGCTCACATGATGGAGGAGATGGGGTGGCGGCTGCCCCCCGAGAAGCTCTGGTCGGGTTTCCGCACGATACATTCCAAGACATGGTGAACATGGGAAGTGACGCGCAATACTGTAGCGATGGCGATAGAGCGTACGAAAGCCGACCCATGTGTTCGGTGTGTGCACTGACGTACACGCGTCCATGGCCCTCGTCTTCTCATGCACACCACATTCCACGTCACTGTCACCACAACACAACTCTCACAAGCATCAACCACCAACATATCCAAGAATCCGGTAACCTCAACCGCATATCTAGGGCCGCAGTCCACGCCCTCGATGACCGTGCCCCGCCTCTCTACCCTCACGGCGCTCGACACCCTGACGCAGCGCCAGAACCAACACACCCAACCCGCGATGTCGCAGAGTAACGGCACCTCTGCCAACACTCCCGCTGAACCTGGACCACGTTACACTTGGATCGGCTTCCGGTTCTCGCGCGCACTGACGCTGCGCGAGCGCCGCCTCCTCCACATCGTCATCGAGGACAGACACATGCTCCCCGTCCCGGACCCAGCGGTGAAGAATGCGCACGCAGAGCTTTGGTTCTACCTTGGTGACACAGGCGGATTTGACGCGGACCAGGTCTGTCGCGGTGCCATGGCTTGGGCCGCGATCAATGTACCGGATGTGGATTGCCAGTACAACATTTTGTAGCCGGCACGGTATATAGAGGTGGAGGTGGAGGTGTCAGGGAAGGGACGAGGGATAGGCAAGCACAGGCGCGTAGATTGCAGGCTCCGACGCGTGGCTATGCATGCGACTAGGACACCATGCGCTTTATGAGAGTATACAACGCGGTCTCCTCGCTCGCAGTCGGCACACGCCCACACAGGAACGATCACATCACCGGAATGATTCGCTGACAGTATCGCACTCACGCCAACCACTGATGACCCATCGGTGACTTCTTCGCCAAGATAAAGAACCCACAGCACGCTCCAGAAGTATCCGAAGACACCACCGCACCCATTTTCCACCCTCCGCCTCGTCAGAAGGCATCCTCCGCAGCATGGACGCGCGCTGGAGCATCCATGATCCGCAGCTGCATTCGTGGAGTGGCAGTCGAGCCGAAAATTCGCCGATATCGCGGAATTACCCGGCCGTGGGTGACCCATGAATGGGGCGCCACCGGTCCGTCCGGCAGCCTGCTGCCTGCGTGGGCCGTGCGGCGAACCCAGAAGAGTTTGTCTGCGATTGCGACAAAGCAGTCGATCCGCGATGTTACCGCGTGTTCCACGGCGCGGCAACGCGTACAGAGTGTCGCGCGATGAGACGCGGTGACACAAGCGTGTCAGCACCAATCCCGACGAATGGGAGCGGGGGCAAATGCCGCCATCCCATTCCCGTTCAATCTTCGGTGCCTTGCGATCGATTCACGCGTTCCAACTTTGGCTTCTTGCCCAAAAATGCGCTGATATAAGACACAGGCAGCGGCCTCGTGCTCACCCCCATCATCACAGTTACACCACATGCCCTTCGTGCTCCGCTTCACGTCCGACCGGCACCCATTCACGGCCCTCAACGTCCAGCGCGCGACCGACCGCATCGAGGCGGCCACACACCGCGTGCACACCATCCGGTGGAGTCCGCGCATATTCGAGTGCGAGTTCGACGACCGCAAGGAGCTCAACAAGGTCTGGCACGGGCTTTACGACGGCCTCGGACACGATCTCGGGTCCTGGGTCTTCAAGACGTATAAGACGAAGGGATAGCGAAGTGTCAGCGATGATTGCCCTTTGCGACAGTGTCGCGCGATGGAGCGGGAGTAGCATCACCTGCCCCAGCACCGACCCCAGCCAGCACCTTATGGCGCATAGGCTCAAAAAACCCACTGCGATAAGCAAACGCACACCCTGACCCATCGGACCGGATGCTTCTGAGAAGCTCGTCGTTCATTTGTCGGCCCGTGCGCCGTACCCGTCCAACCCTGTAGCCGTTCCCTGTTGTATCCCGGGCTCACCCTCGACTCGACTTTCGACAAGTCGTCACGTATATGCATAGATCGTAGGTTGTACACATAGTCGTACACACATTCATCACCTCGAAACCGCAGCAGTTTGTAGTTGTTCGCGCTCCGGACCTTGATTGTAGTGGCCATCGTTGGTTCCTTCCATACCTCCTCATTGTGAGTCTCCGTGAGCCTCCGTGAGCCTCCGTGAGCTTCACGAGCCCGGAAGAATCTCACTCCTCACTTCTCCACAATGGTCGTCGTCCAAGACCCGAGAAAGTCTTTGTCGAGCTTGGGCCGAATGTCGGCATAGAGGCTCTCGACCTGGCGTTTGCTGGCAGAACGGAACGTGCACTCAATGTCCTTCCCCTGGCGGCACACGGTGACAGTCGTCAGACCCCAGCTGGCACGGCGCAGACGCCGGCGCACCTTGTTTTCCTCCTCGACAGTGAAGCCCATCGGCGAGGTCAGGATGAGCTTGACGGGCTCAGCCTCGGGGTCGCGCATGCAGGAGAGCATTATGTTGTTGTTTGTGGCGTTGGTGAAGATCAGGGACATGATAAGGTTGCTTTTATGCCTGCGAGGAGCGGGGGGAAATAGAGAGGGGACTATGACATGGGTCGATCTCTGAAGGAGTAGCGAAAGACACACGCCGCTCACAACGTGGCGGTGGCGATCGCGGCGCCGCCAGTGTGATCTCTGTCTTGGGCTGGAGTTCTGACTCTTCTGAAGTTCGCCAACACGCGGCACCAAGGTCTGGACTCAGTCTTTGTGGGACGATGGATAGTGCACTACGCTCCTGGTTCCCTTCGAGGCGATCCGAAGTAGATCACCTTCGGTCGCATGCTGAAATGTTTCGGAGGAATCTCGTTGATCACGACGCGGATGATACGAGCCGGGGACTGAGGCCGGGGTCGGCTTTCATCGGCGGTGGTGTCGATGGCTCATGTGAGTCATTTGCCTGCGGTTCAGTATAAGCAACGAGACATGGTGTGAGTGAAGGGGACTCAAATAGAGAAGATCCTTGTCTTTGACCGGCATGCTCATGAGTATCACTGAGGTACCATCCCGTCAGTCAAGTAGCATATGGCGGTCGTTCGGCCACTGACTGAGGAGCAACTGCGTGGAGAATCAGGTCAGTGAGCTAAACATGTCAGTGAGCTTTGCGAACATTTCTGAGGTTTCAGGTGCCACCGCTTCCGAAACGTGGTTCACGCCCCCCCATGACCCTCCAGTGCAGCGACGCGTCCGTGCTCGTGCAAGCGACAGTCCTGCACATGCCTCGAGGACTTCCTCGATGTCGGCCCTGTAGTCGGAGGTTAGAAGGCTGGGAAGTCAGAAGCCATTCGATGCTTCGATCCCGATGACGGATCTTTCTTCGGCGCACCATTGTGGTCCAGAAGGCAATCAAACTTCGCGAGATTGAATGCAAGTGCATGATGCTGTGGCTAGTGGGTATGTCGCCGCACGCTGATACGTGGGCTGATGACTAATCGTAACAAATTGTACTCTACTCTTGTTTCTATGCGGCTGTGATGAGCCTTTACTCAGATGCTCCCCTCTTCGTCCCCTCTGCCCTCCCTGATCCACCGTCCTCGTCAAACTCTCCAACCTCGCCTCCCCCCCCCCCCCCCCC